GTAGATAAAATCAGAACCTTAGATTAGAATCAGTTTCTAGAAGTCTTACTTCCAAGCTAAGCATGTAGCCCACTGGAAGTGTTCAGCCAGACAGATTGGGTTTAAATTTTGACTGTGTCTCTAACTAGCAGTGTGACCTTGGATAAGTTACTCCTACTTTCTAAGTCTTGGTTTCTTCAGGTCTAAAAGGGAGTGATAGTAATATCCATTCACAAGGTAGCAGGGGTGGGTAGAGGAACGATGGACATAAAGAGCCAGGCACACCCTAAGTGCTCAGCATATGCGAAGTGTTATTTTACGATTCACTCAACAAACTTGGGAATGCCTTTTTCTGAGTCAGGAATCGTGTAAGCAGCTGGATATAGAGAGATGAATGAGGCATTGTCCTTACTTTTGGATATTTCACAGTCAAGTCAGGAAAGACATGTTGAAACGGTTGCAATAGCGATTCAATAAGAGAATTAAGAATAGAATGTACATTTCTAGAGCTGGCACAAAAGAGGAAGGCTAGCTCTCCTTTGTTTAGAACAAAGACAAATGTGTAATGACCTGGATTTTTTTTTTTTTAATTTCTCTTGTTTTTATTTTTTTAGAGACAGGGTTTTACTCTGTTGCCCAGGCTGAAGTGCAGTGGTACGATCGTAGCTCACTGTAATCTCAGACTCCTGGGCTCAAATGATCCTCCTATTTTAACCTCCTGAGTAGCTGGGACTACAGGCACACACCACCATGTCTGGCTAATTTATTTATTTCTTTTTTTGAGGCAAGGATTTGCTCCATCATCCAGGCTGCAGTTCAGTGGTGTCATCACAGTTTACTGCAGCCTCGACCACCCAGGTTCAAGCGATTCTCCCACCTCAGTCTCCCAAGTAGCTGGGACTACAGACATGAGCCATTACACTTGGCTAATTTTTGTATTTGTTTGTAGAGACAGGGTCTCCCTGTGTTGCCCAGGCTGGTCTCAAACTCCTAGGCTCAAGTGATCCTCCCACCTTGGCTTCCCTAAGTGCTGGGATTATAGGTGTGAACCACTGTAGCTGCCCTTGACCTGGGTCTTAAAGAAAGAGTAGATTTTTGAGCCGGGCACAGTGGCTCATGCCTGTAATCCCAGCACTTTGGGAGGCTGAGGTGGGTGGATTGCCTGAGGTCAGGAGTTTGGGGAAAACTCCATCTCTACTGAAAAAATACAAAATTAGCTGAGTATGATGGTGCATGCCTGTAATCCCAGCTACTTGGGAGACTGAGGCAGGAGAATCACTCGAACCCGGGAGGCAGAGGTTGTGGTGAGCCTAGATTGTTCCATTGCATTCTACCCTAGGCAACAAGAGTGAAACTCCATCTTCAAAAAAAGAAAAAAAAAGAAGAAAAGAGAAGATTTTCTCAGCCAGCTATATGTGAAGAGTGTTTCAAGCACAAAGGAATATTATGTGCAGAAACGTGGCATATTATAGAAACAGGAAGAAGGTGGGGTGGCTGCAGCCTGGTTGTCGCAGGAAAGGAGGTTAGAGGAAGGCACAGTCAAATTTCGGATGAAATTTTCTGAGAAGATTTGACTTTAACCTACAGGCACTGAGAAGCTTTGAAGAATTTTCAGCAGGGTTGTAACACGGCTGGAGTGAACCACGTTGTGTGCTGTGGTATATGAATTTCAGGGTGAAAAAAATGGCTGTTCGTGGCGTCATCTCAGAGGCTTACTAATGTTCCAAGGAGATGGACTGATCAGGGCCTGACCTCACCAGGACCTGACCTGGACGGTGCTGGTGGAAATGGAGTATGATAAAGATTTCTAGGAGTTTAGTTTTGTTTTTAGGATTTTAGAAGGTGGAACCAACAAACCTGGTGATTGGCCTGACAAAAGGAGCAGGTGCTTTCTGGGTGCCTAACTTGATCAGGGAATTTGCTGGTGTGGGGGGAGGGTTATAAGGCCCACCTTAGACATATTGAGTGTGGGAAGCCCATGAGACACTCAGAGACAGCGGCTTTGAAGGCAGATGGGTACATAGGTGAAGGGCACAGGAGAGAGGCTTGTATTAGAAATGGTGAGAAGTTCTGATCACAGCAGTATTTAGTAAGGCATACCTATGCCAAGAGGGCCAGGCTGGGGATGGGTCGGGAGACTGACCAGGAGGTTTGCAGGTTTCCAGGCACAAGGGATGAGGCCAGAGGCTATGATGACCTAGGATTGCAATGGAGGAGGGCAAAGGTGATTCTGTGCTCCTGGGCGTGTTTCCTTCTCTGTACAGAGGAGATAGATAGCACCGAGCTCAGAGCTGCAGTGAGGCTAATGTGTGATATTGCATGTGAGGGTCAGTATGGTGCCTGGCACATAGCTAATGGAATCTCCGGAGCCTGTGAGGGCAGTGTGGAGCATGTAGTGGGAGCTCAAGCAGCATAGTTGAAAGCAGGGGCTTTGTGAAGCATAGGGGAGTGAGCACTTGGTTGTGGGAGTGCAGGCGTCGAGAATGGCATCAGTGGTGGAGTTTAGATGTCAGAGAGTTGACGGAGCAATTGCATTGCTGGGTGGACACGTGGTGATACAGGACTGGCACTGAGGGAGGAGGCCAGGACTGCCCATGCAGGTTTGGGAGTCTCTGCGTACAAAAGTGAGCCATCACTGAGGAGAGCAAGGAGAAATGAAAGGAGTGTGGAGGGCAGGGGCCAAGCCCAGAGGAGCTCGGGGTAGCAGGTGAGGGACATAGGTGAGTCAGCAGAAAGCAAAGAGCAGCAGAGGAAGAGAGGTACATGAGTTTCTAGGTGGTGTCTCTCCAAAGCCAGAAACAAATCAAGCCTGGTTGTTTCATCTTCCTGAGCTTAGCATGATGTACATTTCTGGCAGATGGAGATATTTTTTGAAATATCTGCCATATTGGATTATCTAGAAATCACCATGCCTCCTTATTTGCACAGGTGCTGGTGACAATTGTGCTGACTGACCAGGGTCTTAGCATCCTGGAACCCAAGAAATCCCTGCACAGCAGTCTTCATGAGAGCCAAAGAGTTTCCTGAGGGCCCCTTCATTAGCCAGCTTCCCCCATAAATATAATGTAATTCAGTTTACTTAAGAAAACTATTGGAGACACAGCTTTTAGATGATGCAGCTGTCAGGTAAAAGCATATAGAGAAATGTGTTTGTAAGACATGTTGACATGGAAAGGCTGTGTGTGTAGGTTTAGGAAATGAGAGATAGAAAGAGAGCTGTGTTCATCGCCTGCTGTGTATCTTTTTTTTTTTTTTTTTTTTTTTTTGAGACGAAGTTTCGCTCCTGTTACCCAGGCTGGAGTGCAATGGCGCGATCTTGGTTCACCTCAACCTCCGCCTCCTGGGTTCAGGCAATTCTCCTGCCTCAGCCTCCTGAGTAGCTGGGATTACAGGCACGCACCACCATGCCCAGCTGATTTTTTGTATTTTTAGTAGCGATGGGGTTTCACCACGTTGCCCAGGATGGTCTCGATCTCTTGACCTCGTGATCCACCCGCCTCGGCCTCCCAAAGTGCTGGGATTACAGGCGTGAGCCACCGCGCCCGGCACCCGCTGTGTATCTTTAGCTACTGGAGTCACTGTGGGGTGGTGGTGTGTGTGTCTAGTATTATGTAGTAGGTTACTGTGCAGGTATTGGTGCTTGCATTCAGCCTGTGTATGTGCGTGGATTATGGAGGTGATATAAGGTATGACAAATGACTGGTTTTTTTTCGGACTTTAGCTACCTCTCCATGAGCGAATGAACAGATACCACCAAATGAGGTTGGAGGTAGGAGGAGATAGTGTGTGCATGTGTGAGTGTGTACTGAATAGTTGTGTGTGCATAAGTGTGTATCCAGGGGGCTGCACATGCAAGTATGTGTTTCCCCATGGGTTTGTGTGTTTGCAGGTTGTGCGGTTTCCTACTTCCCACCTATTGCTTCATCTAAAGGCTCCCAGGAGGTGAGCACATGGCAAATGTTTGGAACTGGGGGCCTGTCCATCTACTTACAAAGCAAACCAGAGCCCAGCCTGCTTGAGGAACTATAGCTTAGTTCTTCCTTCCTTCCATCTCTTCCTTCCATCTCCCTTTTGACCCATTTGGTGAGCTCAAAGGCCAAGCCCAGGCAGGGCCCTAATATGTGAGGTCTGCCTGTCTGAAGGATGTGGCATGGTCTAGATCTGGGCCCACTGTGGTCCACTGAATTTGGACTCTCTTCAAGATGGCCACTAGTGTGGCCATCCAGCCTGGGGGCCCTTGGCCTCATCCAGATGTTAAGAAGACATTTGTCCTAGAACCAGAATCAGAGTCAGAAGAGGCCTCAGAAACTATCCAGCCTTCCCCTCTCATTTTTGTAGAAGAGGCAATAGGGACTCAGGTTGAGTGAATAGGAGGAAAGTCACACAGTGCTGTATGGCAGAATTTTGTTTGCTCACTCTGTGTCCTGATGTCTTTTCCCCCCTCGGAGGGTCAGGGGCTGTAGGTGGTTGAGTCCTGTGTGCAGAGGCTTTAGATGTGAGTTGTAGGAGACTGTGTGTGTTCTGCTAAGTGCCTATGTGTGTCAGTGTGTCACTGAGCATGAGTGTGTCTCTAGTGAGCCCTGTGAGACAGTTAGTGGCATGAGTGTGTCTCCATCTGTCTCTGAGATGCAATGGAATGCAGTGGGGGAGCCTCTCTGGGGAAGTGGGAAGCCTGACTGCCACTCCTGGCTGTGCCTCAGATTCTCTATGTGACCTTGAGTGTGGTCAATTCCCTGTCCTGGGCCTTGGTTTCCTGAAATGTTACTTGAGGCTTGGGTGTGATGGGTACTGGCTGACTGTGTGTGAGGTTCTGACTCAGGGGCAGCTCTGTCTCTGCCTCATCCCCAACATAGCGCTGTTTCTTGAGACCTAGGCTTTTTATGTTGGGTGACTCATGTCAGGGCCTGGGTGGGCTTGGACTCCACATGCCCCTTGGAGCCCCTGTTCATGGTATCTTTGCTAACAGCCCTCCTTTTTCTTTTCTCTTTGCCTCCCCCTTCTCCGAACATCACTGGCTGCAGAGGAGCACCCCATGGAAGGTGAGTGAAGCCTCTTGGTCACTGGGGTAGTGGATCTGTTGCCATGGGATCCTATGTGAGGGGCTGTTGTTGGCTACCAGAGGACTCCCTTTCCTGCCATGTTAGGGCTCCTCTGGAGAAGGATGTCTGGGGTCCTCCCTTGGCCGCCTCACCCCGCTCTCTTGCGTCCCCTCTTCATTGGTTTTAAGGGGTGGGAGGCTGCTGATTGGCCTTTCTTCTCCCTTTTCCTCTCCAGGCTGGAGAGGGAAAGGGAAACTTAGGGAAGAGATGAGCGATGGGGGTGGAGGGATGGGGCTGACAGGATTCTGAAGTGCCCAGAAGTGAGTGGGTAGACACTGTTTAGCCCAGCCCAAGTTAGGAAGCTTAGAAAAGCAATTTTGCTATACAGTGGGGCAGGGTGGGGTGGGCCTGTTGCCCCAGAAACCTGTGCTTGGGAAGAATCTGCCCTGGAGTCTGGTGCCACTGCTTCAGGGCTCAGGGGACTGGAGTGGAGTACACCGGCAGAGTAGGGGGTCTGGGGTGTGTGGTGGGGGCAGCTTCTCTGCCCCACTGTGACCAACACTTGACACTTGTGGCAGGCCCCTAGCCACTGTACCACAGGTTGCTAGGTAGGGGTGGTCCACTTCTTCCTTCATCCAGGTCAGAGGACAAGGATGGGGTGTGTGCCTCTCTCTGAGGTTTCTCTGTCTGTTCTTTCTCTATCTCCTGTTTTGTTGGCCTCTTCTTCCTCTCCAGTTTTTGTCATTACCTCCTTTTCTCCAAGACCCTGTCCCTGGACCATGTGCCTCTCCTTCCCCAGATTCTCTCTGGGTTTCTGTCATTCTCTGACTCTTTCTCTCGCAATTTGGCTTTTCCTTCATTTCTTTTCCTCCTCTGGGGTGGGCTGAGAGTAGGAAAAAGGTAGTTCTGGCTTGAAGGCTGTGTTGAAGATGAGCTTACATAGCCACCATGAAGAAGGCAGCAGAGCAAGCATGAGGTGGCATCCCAGTCCCTTCTCCTGGGAAAGTGGAGTGGGAGAGCAGGGCCTCCCTGTGGAGGAGCAGAGGAATGTGCCAGGGATATAGTAGTCCTGGGAAAGAAAGGCAACAAGAGGCTTTTGGCTTCAGCGTGGGGCTAGAACCCATTTTTCCTTGTGATGTCCATGGTCTGACTTGTCTCTTTTGGATGTCTCTTCTCCCTGGGGGTCCTCAGGTCCCCTGGGCCTAGTAGGGAGGTGCGTGTGCGTGTGTGTGTGTGTGTGTGTGTGTGTGCATGCACATACATTCATACAGTTCTGCTGGTCTATGTGTCTCTGTGCACACCTATGGATATATGCTGTGTATGTGTAACATGGTTTTGTGTCTGAGTGCGTGGGTGTGCTGTGAGCCTCTATCGATGCATATGTGGTGTGCCCACATTTCTGTTTGCCTATGTAGAACATCAGCATCTTTGTGTGTCTGCATCTGTGTTTGCATCTCTGTGTGTCAGTGTTTACCTCTGTGTGTGTCAGAGAGAGAGAGAGAGAGAGAGAGAGAGAGAGAGAGTCTGTGTGTCTGGGTGGACGCAGCCTTCTGAAGGCTGGAGATAAGATTTAGTGCTGATGTGACTTTTACTTGCTCTTGATGTCATGTCTCCTCCAGAACAAAGGGAGAGACGGAGGGAGGAAGAGAGAAAGGGAAAAAAGGGTGGAGTGGAGAAAAAAAAGGGAAGAGAGAGATGGAGGAAGGAGAGGGGGTAAGTGAAGGGGTGGGAAGAGAAAGCCTCAAGTCTGAAGCTAGAGGGAGGGGCAGGAAGTGGGAACAGCTTGGCCAAAAGAAGAAAGCCAGAGGGGCACTTGGGAAGGATTCTGGCAGGAGTAGGGCAGAAGAAAGGGGCTGATGGACAGGGACAAGAAGGGAAGCCGGGCTTTGGGAACCCATGGGGAAGGAGGCCTGCGGATGCCACCTTGCCATTTCTTTGGGTGGCGTGATAGTCTGCTGGTTTAGTTGTGGCACTGTGTGTGCCTGCATGTAAGTGGCTGTGCAGGGCTGTGTATCGGAGGCTGTATGTGTGTGCGTATGTGTGTATACACACCTAGGAGTCTGACGCATCTCTGTGTCACTCCGTGACATGTCTGTGTGCCTGCTTGTCTTGTCACCCATCATCATCTTTCTTCTTCCAATGGTGGTTCTCTCTGGGGTTTCAGTAGGAGAGTTAGGGGATGAGACTGAAGGTGGGGAGGTGGGTTTAGCAGGTGTTGGTTCCACGTGGGTGGGTGGGAGGCCTCCTCTGTGGCACTGTGCTCTGGACCCTGCAGCTCCCCTTACATATCTAAGGAGTCCTCTGTGCCTTCACCCTCTTTCCACTCGATACTATGCCCAAGGCCTAGCTTTCTACAGGAACCCTGAGATCCTGCTCTACAGCCCCGCTGAGCACCTCCTTTTTCCTCCCAGCCTCTTGTGGCAGGGCGAAGAGACCCAGAAGCAGCCAGATAAAGTGCCCTAGGAAGGGACCCTTGGCTATGCCATCCATCACTGCCAGTCTCTACTCCAGCGGTGGGAGGAGGGGCTGATGCCACAGGTGGATGTGGGGAAGTGAATACCCCAGTGGGGCTGGGGGCCAGGAGAAGGGAGCAGAGATTTCAGATTAGCAGGGAGACTTACTTTAGGGAGAAAACCCTCGGGCCAGCTGGGGCTGAGCCAGGGGTAGACAGGAAGGGAACCAGCCTCCCCTTCACCAAGATGGCTGGTGCTGTCACGCTTGGGGGAGCTGAGCAGCTGGTTGCCGTGGTGACAGAGGGAGACTGCCGAATGCTAATGAGGCTGGCAAGGAGCTGGGCAATGGAAGGGTCTGGGAGAGGGAGATGTGGCTTCCCCTAGCAGCAGTCAGACCTGTGGGGGACAGAGGGTGGGTTCACAGGGCAGCTGGCTCCTGGGCTGGGGGTGGGCAGAGGCCTGGATTCTCAAGGGTGGGAGCCTGAGAGCAAGGCTGCTTCTGACAGGGAGAGTCAGATGTGGGTTGAGGGCTCTGGGTCTGGGTCCTGAATTTGGGGGGTTTGGAAGGAAATGCTGGTAGTTCTTGGGGAAAGAGTTGGTGGCAGAGTAGAAAGGTATTCAAGAGTAAGGAATGAGCATACTCAGTTCAAATGCTTGGGTCCTTACCTGTGTCATGGATAAAAACCTACGTCCTCCCAAGAGGTGTTCTGTCCTGAGGCTGCCCTTAGCAGCTATGGCCTTCTCCCCTAAGTGGCCTCAAGACTCAGAGGTGGGGAGAAACCAATGCCACCTCAGAGAGATGGGGCAAAGAGGGCAGTGTGAACCATCTGGCCATGGGGTCCAGGCCTTCAGCCCCCGGCCATGTGCTTCCTGGCTTCCTCTCTGCCTTTCCTCCTGGAGCCCAGGCATCCTGACCCATCCAGCTTTGTTTCAGAGATACTTGTAACTCTTTAACCTTGCTACTTCCATCCTGGCCCCAGCTTTCTATCCCTAGGGCCAACATCTCATTGGCACAGCAGTGGGGCTTGTTTCCAAGGGTGACAGTGGCACCACAGGGCTGTTGCCTTTCTACCCTCTTGGCCAGATGCCACAGGGGAGTCAGTGGGATTGCTGGGGGGCTCTGAGGTCTGGTGGAGCTGGCTGGCCATCTCAGGGAGCCCTGGGGTCTCAGCCCAGCTGTGGGCCTGGTGGTGCCAGCCTCTCTAGGAGAGAGCTTTCCATGGCTGGTGCCCTTTGGGGACTGGGGTACTGATCCATTGATCCAGATTCCTTCCCAGTAAGGCTGGGGAGGGGTACTTCGGGTTAGGGCTGACAAGGCCCTCTCAAGGGGACAGTGTAATCCTGGGTGGAAATCCTAGCTGATCTTCCTCTCAGTCCATTTTCTCTTTTCAAAATCCAGATTTTGGGTGATTTGAGAGAGGTTTTGACCAGAGAATGGGGGTCTGTTATTTATTTATTTATTGAGACGGAGTCTTACTCTTGTTGCCCAGGCTGGAGTGCAGTGGCACGATCTCCACTCACTGCAACCTCCACCTCCCGGGTTCAAGCGGTTCTCCTGCCTCTTGAGTAGCTGGGATTACAGGCGCCCCCGCCCCCACCACGCCCAGCTAATTTTTGTATTTTTAGTAGAGATGGGGTTTCACCATGTTGGCCAGGCTGGTCTCGAACTCCTGACCTCCTGATCCGCTCACCTCAGCCTCCCAAAGTGCTGGGATTACAGGCGTGAGCCACCGTGCCTGGCTGGGGCGGTCTGTAATTTATGAATAAAGTCTTTGGACCTCTTGGAGAGCTGGACCTCCTCCATTGGGCCTTGGCTGTCCTCTTTGGACCTTACTGTCTGAGAGCTCTGACCCCAGTCTCTCTGTGTCTCCCTGGAGTCTACCTTCTCCTACTTGTTTCCTCTCTTTAACTTTGTCCTCTCGAGCCCCAGTTTTCTCTTAGAACCCAGGTGTGCAGGGTCCCTACTATCCATACAGAGTTTATTGAGAAGGGTAGCTGGGAGGATTAGAACCCAACAGATGTCCTTCCAAACCCTGCTTTAGTGGGGGATCTTTTTAGGCCCAGATTCTTTGTACCCCCCATCTTTCCCCCTTTTCTGTCAGCATCCTATGGGTAATCGGGATTAGGGGTGTTGGAGGGTTGGAGGCCCCCTTGCCTGCTCAATCCCATGCTAACAGGACACTCTCTCTCTCTCCAGGTGGCTTTGATTTTTGTGTCGTGTTTTATTTTTTCCTCCATCTGAATCGTTTTTTCTCGTTGACCGTTTTTTTTTCTCTCCGCCTCCCGGAAGAAAAAAAAAAAGAAAAAAAGAAAAAGGAAAAAGCAACCCTCCCAGCCTAATGCTTCTCCTCCTTTTCCTTTTTTTTTCCGGCAAGAAGAAAAAAAAGAAACCAAAATCTCCTCTCCCCCATGCAGCGACTCCCTGCCCCCTCCTTCCTCTGGTTCTGCTTGTATCCCTTTTACCCTCTCTGATGCCCCTAATCTCTCTTTCTTTCTTCCCCTTGTGCCCTCCACCCTCTGTTTCGGCATCGGGCCCCTCTCCTCAGCTCCTGGGCTGGGGCTCCCCCCGATGTCTGTCACAAGTTAAAAAGGGTTTTTAAATTGTGGCAGCTAAAGCTTTTTTCTCCCTTCTCTCTGGCTGATTTTGATGACTCTTGTTTTCTTTGTTTCTTTCTCCCTTTCTTTCTTTTTTCTTCTTTTTTTTTCTTTCTTTCTTTCCTTCCCCTTTCCAAGGTCCGGCTCACCTGACGTTAAACAGCGAAGGTATGGTTTGAAGTTTTGGTTTGGTTTGGATTGGATTGGATTGCCCCTAACCTGCGCCTGGATTTTCTGTTCTTCTCCCTGTCCCTCCCCTGTCCCCTTCCCCTCCTCCACCTGTCCTGACACCTTCCTTCCTTCCCTACCCTCTTCCTTTGCTATTTCTTAATTTTATCGGGGGGTGCTGGGGTGGGAGTGGGGACTTGCCCTTGTCTGTGCGTTCCCCTCTCCCTTGCCCACCCTGAAGCACTACATCCACCCACATCTCACCTTGGTTTCTGACATCAAGAGATGTTTGAACTCCTGCCGTTGTCTCCAGTCACCCTTTTTTTTGCGTTTTCCTGGTATTGTATCTTGCTTTTTTTTCTTTCTCATGGTGGTGTTTGATTTTCTTCCATTCATTCTGATCATTCTTTCTTTTCTTTGGACCTAAGTAACAAGAGAAAAGCATGGGCTGGAGAAAGAGGGTCTTAGGCAGTCTCATCACCCTCACCCTGCTACTGTGGGATGCCCCCATCCATGACGAGATGGGACATGGGAGGAGAGGTGCAGGGCCTCTCCCTTTCCACAGCACGCACTCCCAACCCCCTGCCCACCCGCATGCCTTCACCCTTGTGTTTTTTGAACGTCTCTTTTTTTTTTTTTTGAGACGGAGTTTCACTCTTGTTACCCAGGCTGGAGTGCAATGGCGCGATCTCGGCTCACCGCAACCTCCGCCTCCTGGGTTCAAGCAATTCTCCTGCCTCAGCCTCCCGAGTGGCTGGGACTACAGGCATGCGCCACCATGCCCAGCTAATTTTTGTATTTTTAGTAGAGATGGGGTTTTACCATGTTGACCAGAATGGTCTCGATGCCTTGACCTCGTGATCCACCTGCCTTGGCCTCCCAAAGTGCTGGAATTACAGGCGTGAGCCACGGTGCCCGGCCTTTTGAACGTCTCTTAATCCTATTTGACAGATGATGACATTGAGGACCAGAGAGATGAATTCACTTGTTAGTGATTCCATAGACCTAATTGGTGAATTGAGAGCCCTGGTATTAAGCAAACCTGGAGACAGAACCCAGGAGTCCTGTCTGAGCTCCTCCAGCTCTGGCTTCCTCCAGTGTTTCACTGTCACTGATTCTCTCTGAGCTCGAGGTTTTGGCCTTCCAGATCCTTTGGCACTGTTGGACCTGCCCAATTCAGCTCCCTGTTGGGGGATCATCTTACAGAGGAACAGAGTGGGGTCCTTAGCCTGTAGGTAGGACCAAGATTGGGCTGCAGGAGAAACTTGCATAGATATGAAATTTGGGATGGATTTAGGTCTGGGAGATAGAGGCCTTGGAGTCTTGCAGGGATGTGAAATTATGGCAAGAAGTGTGGGGAAAGAGGAAGTCCCAATTGGGGAGTTATAAGTAGGAGCCCTGGCTGGTTCACTCATGTCCTTCTTATCTCTCAGTGCCTGGTTCTGTGGGTGCTGGCTGTGGCTCCCCTTTGTCATACGTGAAGGTCCTCCCAGAGGATCTCAGCAAGCCCCCCCTGGAAAGTTTCCACAGCTCAAATATTATTCTAGTTCAAGTTTGAGGATTTACAATTAAGGTTGCAGTAAGAGCCCATATAGGGATTTTCCCCCTTCATCACTGAGTTTTCTCGTCCTGAAGCCATCCTGTGGATCTGGCAGTAGGGCTGGGTGTCTGGAAGCCAGGTGCTGAGTGTATAGGTTCACTGGCAGGGAGAGAGTTGGGCTGAAGAGTTCAAGCTGGCCTAGAACCCAGACATGGTAACATGTACCTGCCAGGGCCTTTGGACTGGAGGCCTAGGTGCTGCTGATGAGTGGGGTGGTGAGGAGTGAGAAATAACTCTTGAGAAAGGGCTTGCCCACATCCAGGCTGAGCTGCAGGCGGGATCTCCCTTGACGTGCACAGCCCTTTTGTAGGCACAATGGTGGGATGAAGAACAGACAGGAATTAGAGGAAGCCCTTGGAAATTTCTGGGAAGCTCCAGGGTCTAACTGTCAAAGGAGTGGACAGGGGAGAGCTTCCGAGCACTCACTGTGGTGAATGAAGCAGGTGTAGATAGCCTCAAGGTGTAGTGAGAGCCTCAAGGACAGTAAAGAACAGAAGAGCTTGGGTGTAAATCTGGAGAAGTTTCTGGAGGAGGGGCACCTGTGTCAGGCTTTTGAATGAGTTGGGGAGGGTGAGCTCGATCCAGCAGAAAGGGTGCGAGCAAAGATGCAGAGTGGTGGGGAGAATGTGCCTCATGGAGGAGGCCAGGAGAAGGAGTGAGAAGTTGGAAGGGAGTGCTGGGGGCCTTCAGTGCTAAGGGGTAGCCTATTTGCCTGCTGTGGGGAAGAGGGGATCCTGCACTAGCAGTGAGGCCTCTGCTCCTCTGCTCAGTTTCCCCACCCCAGGCAAAGAGTGGAAGTCAGTGATCATGAGTCTGATGGGGTCTGTGGGGCTGATCATCCTTAGTTTGTCAAGTGGCTCCTTCCCTAGAGGTCTTGAAGGCAACGGGGTCCCCAGAAAAGCCTCTCCTTCCCTATACCTGCAAGCAGCACCTCCACTCTAGAGAGGGGCCTTCATCCCCTCAAGGCTGGGGAGGGACTGGCTGAGTAGCCCCTGTGCCTGACTCCCCAATTCTGCTTCTCCAGTAGGGTCCTTACTGTTCTCCGAGGGGGGGGCCGGGAGAGGAGGAGCCGGCGATGTGCACCAGCCAACAAAAGGTCAGTGACCCTGATGGTCCCCAGAGAGTTCAGCCCTCACCCTGCCACAGGCTAACTGTGCTTCCTGGGTGGAAGCCAAGTCAACACAGGTACATCCCCTTGTCCTCTCTGAGGCCTGTGGGAACTGATGGGCCTGCTCCCCGAGTGCCAGTCCAAAGGCCCTATTAGCTGCCCTGGTGTGAAGGGCCACAAACCTCCCATTTCTTTTGCAAAACCCAGTTGTTCTGATGCCCTCTTTCTAGAACACAGGTATCTTTTTTTTGTGGCAGTTGTTCAGTCTGACCCCTAGGAATTATCTGTTTCTTTGGTAAGGCAACCAGGAAGCAGGGCAATACCCATGTAACCATCAAATTCTGGAAGCCTGCTAGGTGCCCAGTCCAGGGAGAGTCTGGTTGGGAGTTGTGGTCAGCAAGGGGCCTTTAAGCCCACTTTATGGCTGTAGCTCCTTTTTCTGTATTGAGGCCTCCTCCCTTAAAATAATCTCTTTCCTATGAAGTTTACAAGCCATTATAACAAGTCCTCAAGGAAATCCAGTGGGTGCCAAGCACTGGGGCTATGGAGTCCCATTTCCATTCTTTAGTCTAATCTTCTGTTTGCCTAGATTTCTGCTATCCTTGTCCCTTCCCCAATGACGTGGTATGTCTCTTTCATCTGACTCTGAGAAGGCAGTCAGGCCATCCACACTGGAAGTCTCCTTGAACACCCCAGGCGAACCTGAACACTTATGGTGTTTCCACACTTCCATTAGAAGGCTGATCACACTGTATTGTCACTGTCACTTTACCTGTTTGCTTCCCCAACTAGACCAAGCTCCTTGAGGCCAGGGATTGGATATTTCTGTTCCTGCACCCTCAGTGCTTTACACAGCTCTTGGCACATAAGTAGCCATGTGGTCAGCAAATTTATTTTAAATGAGCCAATGGGCTCCGTTCCCAAGAGGCTGATTGATGTTTTAACAAATAACTACAATAAAGTGTGGTCCATGCAAAGTATATGAAAAGTGCACACTCTTTTCAGAAGAGTTAATTTGTTCATTGAGGTCAGGCACTGTGGCTCATGCCTATAATCCCAGCACTTTGAGAAGCCAAGGTGGGAGGATCACTTGAGGCCAGGAGTTCAAGACTAGTCTGGGCAACATGGTGAGACTCCATCTCTACCAAAAAAAAAAAAAAAAAAAAAACCCTTGAGAAAGACAGAAAGACAGGGAAAGAGGCAGCACACTCGCAGAAAGTTACCAACTGGCATGAGTCATTTGTTTGTGGGGTGCTTTACGGTTGAGGAAGCTGGACCCTGCCTTTCTCTTTCTGAGATGCCCACAGCAGCCTGTGCAGTTCCTGATTCTCAGCTCCATTTTCCAGAGGGGGAAGCTGGGACTTAGAGCCCAGCTTTGTGACCAGCCAAGGTCACAGAGCTGGTGGTGGAGCCAGTACTAGCGCCCAGGTCTTCTTTCTCACATCGCATTTCCTCTCCAGGGAGCAGTACAAGATGTTACTAGGCAGTAAGTGCCAAGCGAGCAGAACAGACAGCTGTAGCGCTCCAGAGTAGGGAGGGCGGAGAGGGGCGCTGGAGACCTTCCCAGAGGAGGTCTGGGAGCTGGGCCTGGAAAGGAGGCAGCTGCTCAGTCCCTCATGCACGATACTCAGAAATGCAGGACCACAACTAGCCTCCAGCCACATACATCTTCACTGGGGACACTTGTAGGGCTACAGACTACCCAACTGTGGGAGGAAAGGAGCATCAGCTATTACCCCCATTCCTGGGTCTGGAGCAATTACGGGGCGGTAACTGTGCAAGCACTGCTGGGAGTTGTAGTTCCCAGTCTCTCCAACACGGCAAGATGGGGGAGAGCGCCCCCTGGTGCTTCAGGGCTTATTCAGCCCAGATCTGGGTTGTGCTCTTCTGAGCCTCTCGGTGGCCCGCATAGGCTCACCCCAGTAGAATCCCTCCACTGACTTGAAGTCCTGCCCAGACCTCCCTGATTCAGGTTTCTCCTCACAATCTTTGGGTTTTCTTTCCACGTTTGCTCATCTCTTTTCCGTCCCTCTCCTCAAAGGCTTTCAGGCTCTTTGGCTGCTTCTTGGGCCTCTTGGCGTCTCTGGGCCCACCCAGGACTCTGGTGGCAAAGGGACTGGAGCCCGTGGAGGCGCAGGCTCCGGAGTAGCTAGCATTGCCACCCACCCTAAGGAGACCAGAGGTAGAGCTGAGGAGTCGAGGAATGGCCTCGTTTCTCGAGTTGGCCTTGGCAGCCACAGTCCAGCCCCAGATTCACCTCTCTTCTTTTTGCTGCCCTCTTTTGTTCTGTCCTAATCACTTTTTCACATGGTCGCCTTATTCTCTTTTTTTCTGTTTGACTCTCTCTTTAATGATATTTTCTTTGACTGCAGTGAAGGTGAGGGATTGGAAGGAGTGGCTTCTGGGAGGGAAGAGCACATGTGGCAAAACCAAGGTCAAACACATTCCTTTTTCTGGTCCTTGAGCCCCCTGGTTCTCCCAGTGCCTGGGCAGCAGGCTTGGTTGCTATGGAGACACAAGGCCTCGGAAAACCTTCGCTTCTGTTCCCTAGAGGTCCCTATTCCCTTTCCTTGCTGGCCCTCTTCCCATCTCCTGTCCCTGTCCCTGCAGGGCTTGCTCCTTTTCTTTATCCAGATAGCTGCACTCATCCCCTCTTGCTCCCTCACAGCCCTGAGCCATCTTCATTTCTTGTCTGTCTCTGTGATGGGTCACCTTTCTCCTGCTCTGCCCTGCCTCCCACCTCCTTGCCACTCTTCCCTGCCTTTCCCTCTTGTCTGCTGGGGTCCTCACTTTTGCTTTCTTGCCCTCTCCACTGGTACCCTAAGTAGACAGAGGAAGGGATTCAGACTGTCCCGATGTTGCCCAGGCCCCCACCAGCCTTGCTGCCCTGTGGCCTCAGGAAACCGGGCCTTGCCAGCTGCAGTGAGTACTGTGCCAGGCTCTGGGGCAGCAGCTGGTGCCTTGGCATCCGGAGGTAGTGAGGACAGAGGCTGCGGGCAGCCTGCCCGGAGAGAGAGAAGCAGGCTGTGTGTGGAGGGGAGGGGATCTGCAGAATCTGCACTTGGAGACCCCCCCACCCCACTGCCTCAACACATAGCACTGCTACTGAGCCCTGCCCCCAAGGGGAAGGCAAATGGCTCCTGGTGGCCCTGCATGCCCCCTGGCATTGTGCCTGTTCTTGCCTGGGCCTTGGGAATTCTGCATTTAGATAGTTTGGTCTCTTCATAAAGACCCTCATGGCCAGTCTTGTATGCCCTGCACCTGTCCTGTGAGGTAGGCAGGGCCAGCTGTGTGTCACTGCTTAGTGGCCAGAAGTGAGCCACTGGTAGAACCCAGGTCTTCTGATTTGTTTCTGCTTGCACTCTGGTTTGTGCCAGTGTTGGACAGACACCCCAACTTCCTGGTACTACTGAGTCATTGTCTTCTCACTTGTCACCAACTTACAGAATGCTGACAATTCCTCAGGCTCTCTCCGTAGTTTTTGCTTCTGCTTAAAAAGTGCCAGTGGAAGGGCTGTGTGCCAGGTGCTCATGGACATACATGAATGCACACAGATACGTGCATGCACAAAGCCCAGGCCTGCCCTTGCCCTGTCACTCTCTGGGCACACACAGGTCACATCCAGGCACTCTGTGCTCTCCACCTTGGGCCTGTCTGCGCTGTCCTTGGGTTGGAGTAGGGAGCTGGGGGTGGAGATGATAGCTGGCCTGGTGGCCACCCATGTGAGTTCTGCTTGGTGGCTTGTTGCTCTCTAGTGTGTATCCCTGTCACCTTCATTGCCTTCCTGTGTGTCTTCCTGATCCTTCCCCCCCATCACCCCACCTCCCATTCTCCTCATCTGTGCCCTGATGCACAACAGGCCTATTGGTCCATCCCATATGGTGAGGCTGAAACTGTCTCCAGGCACTGAGATTGGGCATCACTAGAGAAGGGGCAGGAAGGGAGGTGGGCTGTGAGTACGAGACCCTTGTGGACCCTGCCATAGGGGAGGAGCTCCCAGGGAGAAGTAAGGCAGAGCCTCTTATGTCCCTTCCATATCCCTTTGTTAAGGGGAGTGGCCGATGGCAAGGTTGGTGGGGAGGAGATGGTGAGCACCCTCCACTCTGCTGGGTCCTTTGGCAGAGTAATTGTCAACTGTCAGTATGGGAGCCTCTTAGCAGCCTCCTGGTTTGGAAATGGACATGGGGGACATTGACTTTGACTGCAGAGACGGCAGGGTCCCGAGAGGATGGTTGACAGGCTGAGGGAGGGAAAGGGGCCTAAAGCTACAGGTTGGGACCTCTGGGCTCCTGGTGCCCAGGACCAGTGCCTGGGCTGCTGGAGGGGAGAAGGAAGCGCTGGCGTACCCTACCCCACTCAGCATTTTCCTCTTTCCCCACACTATGGCATCCAGGCAAGGAGGAGTTTGTGGCGACCTTCAAAGGCAATGAGTTCTTCTGCTACGACCTGTCACACAACCCTATCCAGAGCAGCACTGACGAGATTACGCTGGCCTTCCGCACCCTGCAGCGCAACGGCCTGATGCTGCACACAGGCAAGTCGGCCGACTACGTCAACCTGTCCCTCAAGTCTGGGGCTGTCTGGCTGGTCATCAACCTAGGCTCAGGTGCCTTCGAGGCCCTTGTGGAACCCGTCAATGGCAAGTTCAACGACAACGCCTGGCATGACGTCCGGGTCACCCGAAACCTGCGCCAGGTAGGGGGAGTGAGAGGAAGGCCAGGGATTAGCTATACCTGGGGCAGAATGGGGATTGGGAGAGGGGGCTGCTGGGAGTTTGTGGTGGAGGGATCAGGGCTGGACAGTGAGGTGAATTCTTGAGAAGAACAGGGCTTGGGGCTGCGAAGGTCCCAACATAAGGCTGCAGTGGTTGGCAGGCTTCAGGGACCAGGGAGCTAAGCTAGAAGGAGGCTCCAGAGCTGCTCCTGGGCAGGAACCTGAAGGCAGGGGAAGGACTGGGTTCGGATTGTTGGGAGCAGCTGGAATCTCAAGGGTTGGGGCTGAGAAATCAGGGACTTAGCAGAAGGGCAATTCAGAAGATGGGAGGAGTGAGCCAGTGCCTGAATGGGTGTGCCTGGGTGCCAGGGGGTGAGGAGGGGGTCCTGTGGAGTGAGCAAGCTTTGGCCTGATAGATGAAGGTGTACCAACACTAGGGCAGCAAGGCACAAAGGCAAGCCTGAGTTATGTGTGGGGGCAGGATGTGTTTTGCCCCCAGCCAAGGTTTTTTTAGGGCAGAGGCAGGGATGGAGCCAGTGAGGTGGTGGCACAGCAGGTGGGTGACAGAGAGCAGGACCAGAGAGGAAGCTTGGCCCTTTGTCTCCTCTGGGCAGGACACGCCCTTCTTTTCTTTCCCTTTCTTTCAAAGGAGCCAGGCCCTCCCAACATCCATGGCTTGCTTTCTGCCTCCCCCTGGCTCCTAGGCAAGCCCATACAGATGCTCAGAGACCTTCCTTTGTTGGCTCCTGCAGACAAGACAGAACTCTTCTCTGCAGGGTCCCCTCAGCTCCTGTTCCCAGATGCCCCCACTGGACAGGTCCTCTTAGGAATAGTCCTCTTCACCTTTCCCAAGGCCTAGGGTGGCTACTGTAGGTGAAGCTGTCTCTGACCAGTCTCTTTCTAGTTATCTTCTCTGAACTTCCTGGTTCTAGCAGTATGGTGGCTAACCTTCCTTGTCTCTCCTCCTGTCATCCTCCTTCTCCTCCCCTTCCTCCCACTGAAAGGCTCGTCAGCAGGTTCAGGATCTTGGCTGAGCTTGCTCTTCTTACCTGTTCTGATTTTACACCATCAATGATGATCTGGTGGGGATGCCTCCTCATTAATACCACTCCTCCTTCCCGGGAGAACGCAGTGACTAATCCTGCTGCTCTTCCTCAGGCCTGCTGCTACCTGTTGCAGCCAGGCTCCTACTAACATGCCTATTCTTAGCGGCCCACGTGTTTCAAAGAGTGACATGTTTGGTGGAGTCACTTCTCAATGCAGTGCTCCTCTTCTTGTCAAATCATCCCTTTACCCAATCAGAGGGCTGTCCCGAGTTGTCATTACTGAGCACACCTGAGTGTGTCATGTGCATTTGTGACAGTTTCAGGTGTCACACACATTTTATTGGGGGGGTGTATGGAAGAGTTGCCTTTGGTGCTTCCTACTCACTTTGCTCTCCCTAGGACCAGTGCTGTCACCTGAAACTGACTTTAGCAAGGTGCTCCAAGTTCAGAGTCCCTATCCATGCATCATATGACCAAAAAATATATGATGGATCCATAGTGGAAACAGAGGGGAAAAAAAAGACATGGTCCCTGCCCTTCTAGGACTTCAGCTCTTGAGGAGACAGGATGAGTCTGTTACAAGTGAATAGAGCAAGGCCATGCCAGTGCCAAGTGAGCATCAGAAACCTTAAACACCCTAGAACTCGAGTGATACCCAAGATGAGGGAGAGGTCTGTGGCTGGAGGAGGTGGGAAAGCCACACAGAGGAGACACCCAGCCTCAGCAGTGCTGAGTGTAAACAATGACCCTCAGCTCTTCTTCCTGAGGTTCCCGGAGTCGAGAGTCCAATCTGGTAACTGATGGAAATCAATTCCCCTGATTGTTCTACCAGAAGGCTCAGAGCAGAGGCAGGTCATGTTGACACTAAAGCAGATCCTGAGGCTCACAGAGGTGTCTACTTAAAGACTTTGATTGAGCACTCTTTTTATAAAGGGCTTCTGGGGGAATTTGTTGACTCCAGTCCACACCCATAAATGTGAGGTGTAGGAGCTGCAGACAAGCAGCCCTCTTTTGGTCATCATGGCAACTAGGGGAAGGTCAGCCTCAGAGCCATGCTTTGGCTGCACTGCCCTCGCTTAAGGCCTGGACTTAAGGCCAAGTTCATCCTCACCAGGCCCTTCACGGGCCTGATTTTCATGGCCTCAAAGAGGAATTTATTGGATCTTATGTCCCTAGACCACTGTTTTCCAATCACTCAATCGTGTTGTGGTCCCAAGGAGACATTTGGCAACATCTGGAGATGTTTTGGGTTGTTATAACTTGGGGATACCACCATCATCCCATCAGTAGAGGCCAGGGCGATGCTAAACACCCTGCAGTTCACAGGACAACCCTCATAATAAAGAATTATCTGACCTCAAGTGTCAGTAGTGCCAATATAGAGAAGTCCTACTCAACCACATTTTCTTTCTTTCTCTTTTTTTTGAGTTGGAGTCTCACTTTGTTGTCCAGGCTCGAGTATAATGACACCATCTTGGCTCACTTCAACCTCCGTCTCCTGGGTTCAAGTGATTTTTCTGCCTCAGCCACCCGAGTAGCTGGGATTAGGCGCCTGCCACCACGCCCGGCTAATTTTTGTATTTTTAGTAGAGATGGGGTTTCACCATGTTGGCCAGGCTGGTCTCGAACTCCTGACCTCAAACGATTCTCCCACTTTGGCCTCCCAAAGTGTTGGGATTACAGCCATGAACCACCGCGTCTGGCCTCAACCAAGTTTCTGTGGTGTCTGGATGATATCCTGGGATTGGGACAACACTTATGTGATAAGAAGGTGTGATGATGGCTGGAGTGGTTTGAATCAATATTCTGTCTCCTCCAGGTTTTGAGCCAGGAGCAAGGACAGGGAGAAATGACATTTGTCTTCAGCCTTACAGGATAGACTGCCAGGATCTGAGAACAATGTGGCTTCCAGGTTATTTTTCTCATTTGATTAGAATGGCTAGGGAGATGGCCTTCTGGGGAGGACCTGCTCGAGAACCAGCACTGAGGGGTCTCCATTTCCTTTGCTTCTGCAGCCATGGGAGTGGGTCAAAGGCCAGCTCCAAAGACCAGAAGGAGGCAGAATTTCCCCTTCTTTTTCCCTGGACTTGGTAATTATCCCTGGAATCATCTAGAGGCTCTCAGACCATAGCAGTTAGGACCAGGGGCAACTGATGAGACAGTATTTTGCTCTCTCTTCTCTTGCCTTTTCAAATCCAGCCCTCGAGGTCATTGTGACCGGAGGTGTCTCTTGGAGGATCTTGGCAGGAATGATTACCTCTGAGGATTCCCCGAGATCTATTTTAAGTCCTGGGCCCACTCTCCTCCCATACCCAGTATGCTTCCCAACTGCCTCCCACCATTATGTAAGCAGTGTGCAAACCCATTTCCTCATTAGCCAGCACCAAATTTGGAAGACAAGCTGGCTATCAAAATATCACATGGTGCTTCCTCCTGCCCAGCTTGGATAACTCCTCTCCTTGGTGCAGAGGCTTTCAGGAGCTCCTCCAGGTCCCAAAAATGGAGTCCCCAAGGATGGAGTCCTTCAAAGATGGAGTCCTTCAAAGATGTAGTCCCCAAGGATGGAGTCCCTCAAAGATGTGGTCCTCAAGGATGGAGTCCCTCAAAGATGTGGTCCCCAAGGATGGAGTCCCCAAGGATTCAGTCCCCAAGGATGGAGTCTGCCAAGGATGGAGTCCCCAAGAATGGAGTCCCCCAAGAATGGAGTCCCCAAGGATGGAGTCCCCAGTAATGGAGTCCCCCAAGGACAGAGTCCCCTAAAGATGCAGTCCCTAAGGATGGACTCTGCCAAGGATAGAATACCCAAAGATGGAATCCCCAGTAATGGAGTTCCCAAGGTTGGAGTCCACCAAGGATGCAGCCCTCAAGGATGGAGTCCACAGGCATTCAGTCATCAAGGATGGAGTCCACCAAGGATGCCATCCTCAAGGATGGTCTCCAAGAGTGTAGCCCCCACAAGGATGGAGTCCCCAAGCATGCAGTCCCCAAGGATGGGGTCACTAAGAGTGGAGGCCCCTAGGATTCTAGAGATGCATTCCCTAGGAATGCATTCTCCTAAGGATGGAGTCCCCAGGGGTGGAGTCCATCAGGCAATTAGGTTCCTTTCCTCTCCTTCCTGCCCAGGCCTCTCTCCCTCTCTGGCATGGCATACACACTGTCTCAGGGCCCAGCTGTGCTGTTCTCCATACCCATCCATGCCAACTTTCCTAGCTCTTTCCTTTGTTTTCACAGTTCTCCTACGGACACCACTCATTTGCCCTCCTTTCTGCCTGGTGAAATCCTAGATCTGGGGTTTGAGTCAGAAAGACCACATTCAAATCCCAGCTCTGCCAATAGTTTGAGTGCCTTTAGGCAAGTTATACAACTTCTGTGAGCTTCAGCTCCTCATCAGCAAAGTGAGAATGAGCCTTTTGATGACTAACTGGGGTATTGCCTTAAAACACTCAACACAGTGCCTGGCATGAATTAGTTGTGTTTTTTTCCATCCTTCAGACCCAGCTTAAATGCCACCGTCTTCATAAAGCCTTCCTTGATCCATTCCTTCAGCCAGCCTCCCTTCTTGGCTATGTTCTTTGAGCCCTTGGAAATGTGTGTATTTGAGCCTTGTCATCACATTCTGCCTGTGTTGTCAATATTTGTATTCATTCCTTATCTGTACTTCTAGGTGGTAAGCAAATTGGTGGCTTAATACCAGCAAATATTGAGTGTTTGTAGTTGTTTTTCTAGTAGTTTTTTTCTTATCTATTTCGTCTCTTTCTTGAAGGCAATTGGTAAGCTTTTGGACATGAGGACCCATGTCCAAAAGTAGCAGATCTAACTACTTCATATGAGCACTGAACTACTTCTTGTCCTCTTGGAAAAAAACCCTCCAATTCACTTTTTTACTTTTTTTTTTTTTTGAGACGGAGTCTCACTTTGTCTCCCAGGCTGGAGTGCAGTGGTGTGATCTTGGCTTACTGCAACCTCTGCCTCCAAGGTTTAGGTGATTCTCCTGCCTCAGCCTCCTGAGTAGCTGGAATTATAGGCTCCTGCCACCATGCCCAGCTAATTTTTGTATTTTGAGTAGGGACAGCGTTTCACCATGTTGGCCAGGCTGGTCTCAAACTGCTGACCTCAAGTTCAAGTGATCTGTTCACCTCAGCCTCCCAAAGTGCTGGGATTACAGGCCTGAGCCACCGTACCTGACCCTAATTCACTTTACAAGACCAGAACACCTCTCCTGGTCCCTCCTCTAAATTTCCTCAGGACTCTATCTTTCTGTCACAGCACTTCTCAGATTGCACTGTAACATCTTTCCCCACTAGCCCCTGGCTTCAAGGATCTCACTGCTCTTTACTATCTCACCTACTTTTTATGACAACTCTGTGAGGTGGAGAGTTGTCATCAGTAAAATTATTTCCATTTTACTGATGAGAAAAATAAGACGCAGAAGGTTAAAGAACTTGCTCAAGGTTATCCAGTTAGGAAGTGGTGGAATTGGAAGTCTGACTTCAAAGCCACTCTGTTCCTCTGCCTCCAAGTAAGGGCCTGGTTGTTGTCATTGGTGCAAAGTGCAAAAGAGGCTAGAGTTTGTCTTGTGCCTCTGTCATTCTTGGAAGTTCTCAAATGTTGAAACCATTTCAATGTTCAATGTTCTGCTTGTATCTCTGAAAAATGGTTCCCTCTTACATGCAAGTGGAGTGGGTTCCTCATCTCTTTGTCCTGAGCTTCTCATGCTCAAGCTCCACAGATTGTCTTCACTCCCGATTTTTGTGATTTGGGTAAATATTCCCTCTCTTGGCTTTCTTGAGGGGGCTGGAGCTACACTAAGATTTCAAGGCAGAGATGGGTTATAGTTTTGTCCCAAGGCTCTCCTTTCTGCCTCGTGAGATCCTAGAGCTGGCGTTTGAGTCAGAAAGACTTGGTAAAAATGACCACTTGATATGATGCCTGACTTCTGCCCTCTGTGACTTTGATGCCCTTCTCATTCATCACTTGTTGTCATTCTTGTGCTCCCAGGCTCTAGGAGCTCTCTAGCTGTTTCTATGAGTGGGATAAAGCTTTCATTGCTCATCTATTAGTCTGAAGCCTCAGCTCTCCAGATCCTGGCCATTGGGAAGACCTGGGCTACTTTGTACCCTTTCCCTGTGATGTGTCCCAGGCCACCAGGAATGGGTTCCAGTGGAAGCTCCATTCTAGTATTTCACAACAATTGGCCTTATAAGCATGGTCTTCATTGGACTGGGTCTGGATCCTTAATCCCTAGGTCTAGAGGGGCCCCTTCTCATCTACTCCAACCCCGCTATTTTTCAGAGGAAGCCTGGATCTCTTGACAAATTAGTGGAAGGCCCAAGGCTTTGAACTCACATCTCTTTTTTTCTCACTCCTGATTCTTAATTTGCTGTTCTACTTGTTAAAAATGGAATCTTCTTCATAAAGTTGAAAACTTTTAAATCTTATTTTATTCTCCACAACCAGTTCTAACTCAAAGAGTAGTAGCTGGATTTTTACCTCCAATGCCTTTTTCTTCCTGCCTTGTTTGACTAGTGCAGTGATACCTGACAGCACTTAACTTTTTGGGCCTGATTGTTTAGCTGCCCTGAAGCTAATTGTTCCTTGTTCTGACTAGCTGGCCTCTTCATTTCATGACAGTCCTACCAGCCTCTAGTACTAATCCTCTTATCACACGCTGTCCCCTGGCTCCCATCGCTGCACCTGCAATTAGACTCTTCCCTTGCTATGTAAACTGCTTCTGCATCACTAATAATTAATATTGGTTATTCAGCACGTCTTCTGGCTGCTAAATATTGAATTCTGTTATTTTTAATTATATGAGGCCCTTATTCATTATCTTACTGAATTAGTCCTGTGCCCACTGGTTATAACAACTCTCTAACTAACGGATCTGTCCCTAGAATACCTCTCTTCACAATCACACTCTCGGGGGTGCAGTTTAGTATTTAACAGGCATCAAGCAATAATGTCCCTCCATCTCTAATACTCTTAAGTAAAGCTGCCTCAGTGCCTCTGACATCTCCTCCCCAAAGACAGGGGTAATTTAGAAGGTGGTTGTTGCTGCTGTCTTTGGCAGTGAGAAGAGAAAATGAACTTAGAACTACATGGGAGTGGGGACACAAGAGATTGGGATAGAAAGAGTGGGCTTATAGCCTAGGGAAAAGTCGGGGATTTTAGAGGTAGGTGGGCATCCATGTTCCTTTTTTTGGGCATGGGGGAGTTAATTTCTGGCACTGGCTATGGGGAGCAGAGACTCAGGGGTTTCTGGGTGTACGTGAGCGGAGGCTGTGCTGCTGTGATGACCTTACCAATTCTAGAGATTTGTAGGGGTGGTGGTGGTGAGCACTTGATTTTGAGAGGGACCGCAGCCCAGAGAATAAGAGAATGGGGTTGCAATGATTGAAGAGCCTGGGGAACTTTTGGGGAAAGTTCTAAATGTCAAGGTGGACAGATGGGAGGAGTCAGCTATGGGTGGGAGATGGGGAGGAGAGGGAGGAAGATTTGGAATAATTCAATATAATGTGTGAGCCCTCTGCCAGTCCGTAGAGGGAAAGGTTTCCTTTCCCCTGTTCTGGTGGTGACTCACTCTCTCTTCCCTTCTCAAGGATGAGAAGCAAAAAAAAAAAAAAAAAAAAAAAAAGAGAGAGAGGAGCTGCCCCTTTTCTCAGTGACTCCCTGGATCATTTGCATATTCTCCATCCCCAGGAAAAGCAGGCATCCGTGGCCCCTCCTATGCTCCTTGGGAACCTCTTCCTTTTGCCTCCAAATGAAATTGCCTCTCATTCTTGCCAGTCCTTTGATTCTCCAGGGGTGATGCCCACTCTTCCCAGCCTGGTAGCCAGCTGGCCCATCACCAACTGGTTAATCCATTAACCCGGCATGGCCACTGGTCAGCCAGTTGGCCAGCACTGACTCGTTCTTCAGCCAGTTCTCTGGAAAGCCATCTGGTTGATCAGTTAGCCAACAAACCCATAAGTCCATGGCTCCAACCAATAGCCCATTCCTTCTCACAGCCCTTGTTCCCTCCCTTCCTTCCCCTCAACTTGCTAACATTTCAGCTGATAGGACTTACTAATACTGCATAATTGGGTCTGCTTCTTAATCCCCTGCCTTCCCTCTCTCACCGTCTGTTGGAAAACCCCGTTGGCGACTCTGTGTGTGTTACTAACACGCTTATAACCCAGGGGACCAAGTGATGGGCAGGGACAGGTGGGGCAAGGTATGAGTGAAAAACCGAACTAACCTTTCTGTCTCATCTGCGGAATGTCGGCCATCTTTAAGTCTTTGCTTTCTTGGTCCAGTTGTTTTGTTGTTTTCTTCTTTACTAACCAAGGTCTCTAACTGTTCCCCTTCTCTGCAGACGGCTCTTCTTCCGGGAGGGGATGGCGGGGGAGGAGGAATCCAGAGGAGGGGTGGGGGAGGTATGGGAAGAAGAAGGGACTTAATTTTTGTGTGTGTTTTATTTCTCCGCCCCGTTATAATTTAATTTTCTTTAAACAAATACTTTCGCTGAACCTAAGGTGGGAGGGTTGGAACAAACAACCAAATATATATGGATATATATTTTTCCTCCTTCCTTGAGTTTCACAGTTGGTCATTTTATTTTTCTTTTCTTTTCGTTCTGTTCTTTTGTTGTTGTGTTTGTTGTTTTTTTTTTGACACCCCCCTCCTCCCCCTCCCCCCCATCTCCGGTGAAGCACGCAGGGATTGGACACGCTATGGTAAACAAACTGCATTATCTGGTAGATATCACTCTAATTGTCTTACCGTTTGGTTTGCCGTGGGTTTTTTTAACTGTTCGATTCTCCCTCTTTTGTTTCCTCTCCCTGTTTGGTTTTTGGTTGTTTTGCTCTTCCAATTGTTTTTTGCGTCCTGGACAATCTTTAGATTTTGCTTCTCTTTTAGTTTCCCTCTTTCCCTTTTCTTTTTTTTTTGGTCCAAACTGAAATCCAAAAGACAAATGGAAATCGAGGAATTTGGCTTGTCCCTGCTGTAATCCCTAACTCCTGAATTCAGACTCCTGGCCAGAGAGACCTGGGGGCAGGCCCCATGTTCATCGGCTCTGGTTAGACCAGCCCCGATGCCAGGCTGCTTATTTCTGTTGCTTTATTTTGTTCTTTTCCCTCCCCTCCCTTGTTTTTTCCTTTGATTTAGTTTCTTGGTCTCCTGAAAATCCATGGAAAACACCATCCCATGACATGCTATGCTCTGCTCACTGTCGCTCCCTGGACAGGGCCCCTCAAGTTGGGGGAGGGGGATGAGGGTGAGACCTCCAGTGGCAGCCAGCCAGGTGGGTTCCCAGGGGTTGGGGGGCATGGCCCTGGGAGATGCAGAGCTGCCTGGGATCAGTCCAGACCTCATGCAAATCACCGGTTCATAGTAGTTTGGGGGCTGCCCAGTGCTGGCTGCTCCGGGAAAGGTGCCATCCCCTCCTGCACTTCTCAGCTTGAGGGTTCCTGGTTCCATGTCCCCCACATTTTGCATGGCATGAATGGTCTTTTCCCCCTACCAGGGATAGCGTCCAGCTCCCCCTCAACTGCTCCACTGTTCTGACTAACACTGTGTTTCACACTGTCTTCCTTCCCCTCACCCCCTGTCCTCTCTGCCCGCTGCCTGCCCCGCATGGCCTCTGACAGGGGCTGGTTTCCTTCCCTTTTGAGGGGAGTGAGAGGAAGAGGCCTGGAGGGGTGAGAAGGGGCAGCATTGGTTGTCCTTGTCACCAAGCTCCTCTGTTTGGGTTGGGCTTAGTCCTGGTGAGTGTTGGTGTGGGTGTCTGTGTAAATGCAGCTGGTGTGTGTTGGTGTGTGGGTGTGACTGTGTGTAAATGTTGGCGTGACATTTCGGGGTGTTAGTGGGAAGCTGTACTGTGTGTGTACGAGGCCCTGCTGGTGACTCTCCATGTGTGAGATGGTGTGAGCTGGGGGCTGCCTGACTGTGTGGGTTTTGAGCCTGGCAAGGACTCTGTGTGGAGGTGGACTGTGGGGACTGGCCCTTCAGTCTCAGTGCCATGGCAGGTAGGAACAGGGAAGGAGCTGGGGCTGGCTCTTTGCTCCTTGCGTCACCTCAGAGTGTGTGCCTGCAGGCCCTGCTGCGTGCTATCCCCTGGGATTCCCTTGTGCCTGCCCAGCCCTGGCTCTGCAGCAGCAGCCGGTTAGTCATCACCTATTAATAATGCAGAGTGATTGAGCACCAAGCTGGGGACCCTGCAGATGGACGTGTCTGCTCTCGTGGGGCTGGTGCTACTTGGGGCAGCTGCCTGGCCTGCCCAGGCTCCTAGGTTCACAAGGCTGGCTGGTGAGGAGGGAAGCGTAACAGTTGGGGCTCCCAATTTGAGTGGTTCCCCCACTTCTCTAAGAGGCTGTGCCTCTCGGGCCACATCTGGCTTTTTCTGACACTTCTGCAGGTCCATGTTTTCTTGCACTCACATAGACTACATAAACTAGTGCCCATGCCCAAAGCCATTCCAGCCCTCCCCAATTTAAGACCTCAGGTAGCCACTCCCAGTGGTCCTGGTGTTCCAAAGGGTCATACAGTGCCAGTCTTCTTGTTTCTTCAGCTTCTGCTTCTCGGAGTTAGCAGCTACCTGTCCAGCTCAGGCCAGGCCATTGAGTACCTGTCAGGGGCTGGCCACTTTCTTTACAGTACTTCTCTGGATAGCCAACCTATGACTTTGGGGACAGAAGAGAGGCAAGATCAAGCCATGTGGTACACCCCAAGCCTCTGGGGAGTACCATCCTAGAATTAGGACCCAGCAGACTTTCCATCTAGCCTCAAATTGGTTAAAAATTGACAATGTGGGCTGAGGCTATTAAAGCTCGGTTTCCTTATCTACCAAATGGGCTAACCGAGGTAATATACTTGCATTGCCTATTACATGCATTCAGAGTGAAGATCAAGTAGAGTAATAGAAGTGAAAACATTTGTACTCTGTAAAGGAAATTGTAATGTTATTAAGCTTTATAAAATGTTAACTGATTATCTCCGTGTTTCCAGGGCAAGGATGTTTTATAAAGAAATAATTCTCTTCCATAGCAAACTCTGGAGAATATAGCATACCTGGCTCACTGGAGATCCTATTACCATCTCTTCTTAAGAATCCATCCCTGGACACGATGGCTCATGCCTGTAATCCCAGCACTTTGGGAGGCTGAGGCAGGTGGATCACAAGGTCAGGACTTCAAGGCCAGCCTGGCCAAGATGCTGAAACCCTGTCTCTATTAAAAATACAAAAATTAGGCAGGCATCGTGGTGGGTACCTGTAATCCTAGCTACCCTGGAGGCTGAGGCAGGGAATTGCTTGAACCTGGGAGGCAGAGGTTGCAGTGAGCTGAGATCGCGCCACTGCACTCCAGCCTGGGGGACAGAGCAAGACTCAAACAAACAAACAACAACAACAAAAAGAATCTGTTCCAAAATAGTTGTATGAAAGCTCAGAATGCTTCAGGAATTGGGCTGGAGAAGAAGAGGAAAGATGAATGACTTAAGTTGGTTAAGAAGCAAACAACCAGCTGGGCACAGTTGTCTGTAATCCCAGCACTTTAGGAGGCTGTGGTGGGCAGTTTACAAGGTCAAGAGATTGAGACCATCCTGGCCAACATGGTGAAACTCCACCTCTACTAAAAATACAAAAAATTAGCTAGACATGGTGGTACATGTCTGTAATCCCAGCTACTTGGGGCTAAGGTAGGAGACTCACTTGAACCTGGGAGGCAGAGGTTGCCGTGAGCTGAAATCATGTCACTGCACTCCAGCCTGGCAACAGAGTGAGACTCCATCTCAAAAAAAAAAAAAAAAAAAAAAAAAAAAAAAAAAAGAAGCAAGCTAGGCACCTGTAGTCCTAGCTACCCAAGGCTGAGGTAGAATTGCTTGAGCCCAGGAGTTTAAGACTAGCCTGGGTGACATAGCAAGACCTCCCTCTTTTTTTTTGGAGACAGAGTCTTACTCTGTTGCCTAGGCTGGAGGGAAGTGGCGTGATCTCAGCTCATTGCAACCTCCGCTTCCCGGGTTCAGGCGATTCTCCTGCTCAGCCTCCTGAATAGTTTGGGACCACAGGTGTACGCCACCACACTCGGCTAATTTTTTGTATTTTTAGTAGAGACAGGGTTTCACTATGTTGCTCAGGCTAGTCTCAAACTCCTGAGCTGAGGCAGTCTGCCCACCTTGGCTTCCCAAAGTGTTAGGACTACAGGCATGAGCCATTGTGCCCCGGCAAGACCCTGTCTCTAAAACACACACACACACACACACACACACACACACACACACACCCCCCAAACAAAAAGAAACAAATAATACTGTCTCACTTCAGCCCTGGAAAGGAAAGTATCTGCTAAATTCTGAGTCTCTAAAGTCTGCACTTACCTGCATGAGCAATACTGACCGATGACCAGTTCTGGTTGCCTTTTGGTGGCCTCATAGACCTTTATAAACCTGTACTAGGAATCAGCTCTTTCAGGCCAAGACCAAAGTCAGAGGCCTTGTAACAGAGTTCAGTGTGTTCTGATTTCCAAGGCATCCCCAAGACAGGTTTTGTTTAGTTTTTGATTTATTTTTGCTAACTCACTTGTATGTACTCTTTTTTTTTTTTTTTTTTTTTTTTTTTTTTTTTTTTGAGATGGAGTTTCGCTCTTGTTACCCAGGCTGGAGTGCAATGGCGCGATCTCGGCTCACCGCAACCTCCGCCTCCTGGGTTCAAGCAATTCTCCTGCCTCAGCCTCCTGAGTAGCTGGGATTACAGGCATGTGCCACCATGCCCAGCTAATTTTTTTGTATCTTTAGTAGAGACGGGGTTTCACCATATTGACCAGGATGGTCTCGATCTCTCGACCTCGTGATCCACCCGCCTCGGCCTCCCAAAGTGCTGGGATTACAAGCTTGAGCCACCGCGCCCGGCCGATTGTATGTACTCTTTTCATGTTGTTTGAGCACTTCTTCTTGGGGGAGAGGGTGGATATGTAGCAAAAAGGCCAACCTTGAGAAGGTTGAGAAGTTTGGATTAGGTGTGATCAGGCTGATGGAGTTTGCTTGTATAAATAATGATAGTTCTTTATACACACACTGGGAGTCTTTGAATAGCTGTCCCCTTTCAAATATCATTTAAATTCGATGAATGTCTGGACTGCAGGTAGCAGGGAGAGATTGTTCCCAGTTAACAGATGGGGGAAGCTGAAGCCCAGAGAAAGCTCCTTGCCTAGGATCACATAGCCAGATGAGGAATTTCACTTCAGTTTTCTTATAGGGTGCTCAAAGTAAGCCTGGAAGAAATGGGAGTGACAGAAGTTGTTAGACTCCTCTTACAGATGAAAGTCAGAGAGGTAAAATGGGATTGTTCTGGAAAAGGGCAAAGGCTGAATGAGAGCCCAGGATTTCTTTTTTTTTTTTTTTTTTCCTTCTTTTTTCTTTTTTTGAGACACAGTCTCACTCTGTTGCCCAGGTTGTAGTGCAGTGGCACAATCTCAGCTCACTGCAACCTCCACCTCCCTGGTTCAAGCAATTCCCCTGCCTCAGCCTCCTGAGTAGCTGGGATTGCAGACACACGCCACCATGCCTGGCTAATTTTTTTGTATTTTTAGTAGAGACGGGGTTTCACCATGTTGGCCAGACTGGTCTCGAACTCCTGACCTCAGGCAGTTTGCCTGCCTTGGCCTCCCAAACTACTGGGATTATAGGCGTGAGCCACCATGCCTGGCTGAGAGCCCAGGATTTCTGATCTGATATCTTTCCTCTCTATTCCCAAACTATCAAATCCCGACCTCAGGATCCACAGCAGGGCTATGCCTGCCAGTTCAGTCTGTCTTCGTGGTATATCTTTTCAACTTGAGTCTCTGGTTAGCTTCTGCTCTCACAATGAACAGGTAGCTAACCCAAACCTTTAGCAGGACTTGTAGTACCTCACTCAGCCTGGAGACCCTTTCTTCCCCTTTGTCTTTGTCCCTTATTTCCACCCACTCAATCCTAAGGGGATGTCTGGACCTTTCTCCTAGACTAGTTGCTCTTAACCACCTTTGGCTCATGGATCCCTTTGAAAATTTGATGACAGCAATGGACTCTCACAGGAAAAGAGAAGCCCACGGAGGCAGTTTTACACACAATATCAAGGGGCTTGGAATCTCCCTAGCCCAGCTACCTTGCTCACAAGTTGAACATACCCGCCCTCAGTCTTGTTCTTGCCAGAATAAGTCCCCCTCCCAAGGAGGTCGGTGACCCTGTGATCATCACAGGTGACTGGGAAAGGCTCCGGAAGATGGCAGAAGAATACTTCCCCTCTTCCTCAGCCTTTCTTTCTAAGGCATGGTGGGCATGGAGTCCCTACCAGTGTGGAGTTACCTATGGCCAGGACCTAGTTTCATATCCTGCACAGCCTGCCATAGGGGAAGTGTGTGGAGCAGAAAGAGAAGGGGGTCAGCAGGAAGGACTGAGAGCCTACCCAAGTCATAGGCTGCCCCTTGTGGCCACCTCCAGCCAGCCTCTCTGCTCCTGGGGAGGACAGTGGGGGCTGGGCAGTGGGCTTCTGCTGCCTCTGCATTCTCTCCCCTCTCCTCTGGCTGGACACAGGTCTTCCAGGGCAGAAGCTCTGGCTCATTCCCCTTGGCCAGCTCAGTACCCACTCAGCCTGCTTGTCTGTGTTGAGTGGGTCAGCATGGGTTGGGTGCAGATACTCTGCTGTGTCTCAGTGATGCTGTTTGGAAGGAGACAGCTGGAATGTCCCACTGCCCTGGGTAGGATGTGATGTGTACTCAGGTGTGTCTGGGGGTTGGTGATCGGTGGCGAATGGGTGGTGGAATGAGTGCTGGGTCACCTGCTGTTGAGGAATGTAGAGTCAAATGTCCCTTCTCTTTCTTTTTCAATCCATAAGTGTCTCTGTCCTAGTGGTCACTCCTCTCTCTTCCCTCTATCACTGGAAGGAAACTGTCCCTACCTGGCATCCCACAGCTCTGTCGCCTCCATCTCTGCTCCTCCCAGTGCCCCTGCCCTGCATGCCTTCTTACCTGGCTGCTTTTCTCTGGCCTGTTCTGCTGGGCCTGGCCCCATCCTGCTCCTCTAACCTGCATGTGTCCAGCTGCAGTGGCTGTTCTGTGTTGCATGGCCCCCTCCCTTCCCTCCTCCCCCGCTGGCCCCACCCCTTCCAGAAGATGCTTTGGGGGGGTTGGGGGGCAGGGGCATCATGAACCCCCGGGGTGGAGGGGGACCGGGGGAATTATTCCCCTGTTTCCTGCTTTTACTAACGAACCTGCCATTTTTGTGTCTGGACTTTGATTTGTCTGAGGGAACAGTCGGGTTTTACTAATCTAAGTCATCTCCCTCCTTGCCTTCCCCAGAGACCTTCCTTCATTCCCTCTGCCCTTCGCTTCCTTTCTACCCAGAACCTATCCCCACTTTCTCCTTCTACACCCCACCTCCAGCTGATCACCTTCCTCAGGGCATTTCTTTATGTTGTCCCTCCTCTTACTGCCCCAGCCCCAGCCTCACCCCTGGGCCATAAGAGGGTAATTAAGGCAGCCCTTTTCCCAGTAGGAAAAAGCACAGGGGGGCAAGGTGAGATTGTGCCCAGCCAGGAGGGAAACTGAGGAGGGTATTTCCTCTTCTCTACCCCACACTGTCAGGCCCTTCTAAGTCTGAGAGGGAAAAGGGAGGCTGACCTTAGCAAATGGAGTGGGATGGAGAGAGCCCGTAGGGTGAGGGAGATGGCCAGTGGCTGGTGCCCTGGCTTCTGAGGCCAGGGAGAGAGGGAGGGAGGGAGGACACAGCTGGGGGGCTAGATGGGTTGGAGGCCAAAAGAGGAGATTCTCTTCGTGGGGAGCTTTGGGACCAGAAGAGCCCTTTCCCTGCACTGAAGCAGGAGGGCACTTGAGTTTCTGTCACTAAAGTCACAGACTCCCTGGTTGTTAGGTTTATAGATGGAGATGCAGATAGTGTGGCCCTGGGTCATAGGGGGTCTTTAAATGACTGTGTGCTGAATCCCCTGGATTATGTTCAGATTAGTGGGGTTACAGGGACATTTCAGGCTGGTGTCTGCCCCTCAGAAGCTGACCAGTTGGGGTGACCAGATTTAGGCACAGGAAGTAATTAGCAGCCCAATTCCTGGTCTTCCAGTGCAGCATCAGGCAGAGTGGAGGTGGAGGGCTGGATGGAACTGAATTTGCCCCAGGGAGGCCCATTCACCCTGTGACCCACTCCTATCTTATCCCTGCCCTTTCATTCCAGTCCCTTCTTCCCTTTCTCCAGCCCCTCTCTGCCAGGTCTAATCTCGTTTGCATGTTTTTGTGACTAATACTTTGACCCTTCCCTTTTCTACCCAGACCCCTACTTCCTAGCCTTAGGGTGGGGTGGAGGGAAGAAGAAATAAACAATAATGACCAGTCCTCCCCTCAAATAAGACTCATAAGGTTTCAGACTGCCCCTTTCCACAAAGACACCCCCTTACTTTCTGCTCTTGAACCTAGTTACCCCAGCACAAGGTTTGATGGTTCCCAGGAGGTAGAGAGTGGGGCTCAGCTCTACCCCATTCACTGCAAGGCTCCAGCCAGGCACAAGGGGGACTCAGGGTCCTAGGAGAGCAGGAAGCTCCCTTTCCCCAGTTCTGCTCATGTCCCTTTGGAGTTCCTCCCCCTCACTCACTGAGACCATGGACCCCGGGAGACCAGTCACTGCAAGATGGCTGGTGGCATGTGCACATGGACTGGTGTGGGTGGGGACGGCATAGGATGTGACTGGAAGACCCCAATCTCTAGACTGCTCCTGAAAGAGGGTGCTGAGGCACTCTTGGGGAATGGGAAATGGGGTGAGCTGTGGCCTGTGGAAGCACAGTGTTGGGCTAACCCTGAACCAGCTTCCCATTGACCCTGCAGAGCTCTGCCCTCTTTCCCAGCTGACCCTCCCAAACCACTGTCTTCCTAGAGTAGAGGCTCATAGTCTCATAACCCTTGGCCCTTCTCGCACAATCTTTCTGGGTGTTTTGAACCCTCGTGGGCTGCTTGTAGAGTGAGATTTTTTGAAGTCTAGGTGGGCATTTGCCCAGGGGCACTGGGAGGGTCGGAGAGTTTCCTGTCCTTGTCACGCCCCACCCCACCTAAGATCACTTCTGCATTCTTCAGGCCACTGCTGAGCCCCCCTGCCTCCTGGAACCTCAAGTACTCTCCCATTCCTGCTTATCCTGCTTTCTTACTGAACTTTCAGCCCAGGGGCAAGGTATTTATGAGGTTAGCCCTATCCCCTTCTGTTCCCTAAGCTGGCCCTGACTCCCTGGAGTAACTCTGGTGGTGTCAGTAAGTAAGGCAATTAGACAGGAAGAAGGATGAGTGGGCTGATGTAGCTAAAGGGCTTCCTTCTCTTGTGACCTGAATATAAGGGAGTGGCGAACAGAGAGACTCAGGAGAGGGCTAGGAGAAGTGCAGACTTGGAGACTGCACAGCAAGGGTAGAAATCAGCCCCAGTAGGCAACCCCGGAAAGTTCCAAGACTTCCCAGGAATATCTGAGTTCCTGGCCCTCACACTGCTGTCTTCTATCTCCCTACTGGTTCCAGAATGAATGATTTCCCAGCACACCCAGCAGAGCGGGCTGCAGGTGAGTCTAAGCCATCAAGATCCAGGGAATAGTATTCTCTGGCACACTTTTGAAAGAAGTTCTGGAGTCACATGTGTGTCCAGAGAGTCCCTTCAGGAGAAGAAAAGTGAGGATGCCATTTGCACCTATCCTGTGCCCCGGAATGGGGGCTCTGTCCTGGAGCCCCCAATTCTTGTGCAGAGTGCCTTCCAGGAACTACTTCTTGGGGTACCTCATGGGGAGCTCTCCAGGTACCCTTCGGCTCCTGCCTGCTGAGCTGAGGGCCAGAGGGCAAGTCTTAGCCCACTCTGAAACCATCAAATCTTGTGCTGCTTCCTTTTCCTCATTCCTTCTCTTCCCCCACTGTTCCTCCTCCAAGACAAGCAGACATAAAAATGGGGGTCCCCCTCCCCCACTGCCCTCTGGCCCCCTTTTGCCCAGCCATAGCTCTTCCTAGGGATTTAATGTTGGTTGTCTCCTGTCTTTCTCCCTCCCCCCTGGGCTGGGCAGGTGACCATCTCAGTGGACGGGATCCTGACCACCACAGGCTACACACAGGAGGATTACACCATGCTGGGCTCTGATGACTTCTTCTACATCGGGGGCAGCCCCAACACAGCTGACCTGCCGGGCTCGCCCGTCAGCAACAACTTCATGGGCTGCCTCAAGGATGTGAGTAGGGCTAGGGAGGGGCTGTGGGCTGTTCAGGAGCCCTTTGGCTCCTGTCTTCAGTGTGACTTAGTCTGACCTGGCCAGGTGCCTGGTCCTCTCTTCCTTCCAAGTCCATGGTGGAAGACATCCCCTCTTTAAAACCTAAGGCCCATTGACTCCATCAAGAGGTTTCTCCCCTCTCATTTCCTTGAGCCTTGGAAACATCATCCTCATAGAGGACCCTCACAGGCAGCTGTGGTACAGAGGAAAGGATGCTGGGTGTGACGATTAAAGATCTCTGTTTGAGTCCCAGCTCTTCCAGTCACTGGTTCTGGGACTGTGGTCAAGTCACTTGCCTGTCTGATGCTTAGTTTCCTCCTCTGGAGATGGGTGGTCAGTGCCTACTTCCTAAAGTTGTGAGGGGCACATGAGAGTGTAAGTGAACATACTTCATCAAGTAGAAAATGGCTACCACACGTCAGTGGCCTTGTCGTTATGATGAACTGCAATTTAGTGGGCACTGAGCGCCCACAGGGCAAGCCACCATGCTCATGCCTGGCCAGAAGACAGGACAGAGGATGTGGCAAGGGAGGTGCTTGTTCACAGCCTCTGCGCCTGAAGCTGTAGAACAGAGGCCTAAGCTGAGTGGTCTGGTGGAACTGAGCAGGGCTACCAGGGGTGGGTGGCTGAGTCCCCTGGTGCTTGCTGCTGGGTGGGAGTGGCCAGGCCCTAAGCTGCTTTTGATTCTTTATCCTTGACCCCACTCCTCCCTGTAGGTGGTCTATAAGAACAATGACTTCAAACTGGAACTATCTCGCCTGGCAAAGGAAGGGGACCCCAAGATGAAGCTGCAGGGGGACTTGTCATTCCGCTGTGAGGATGTGGCTGCCCTGGACCCCGTGACCTTTGAGAGTCCCGAGGCCTTTGTGGCACTGCCCCGCTGGAGTGCTAAACGCACTGGCTCCATCTCCCTAGACTTCCGCACCACTGAGCCCAATGGGCTGCTGCTCTTTAGCCAGGGCCGGCGGGCTGGGGGTGGAGCTGGCAGCCACAGCTCTGCTCAACGGGCCGACTACTTTGCCATGGAGCTGTTGGATGGTCATCTCTATCTTCTGCTGGACATGGGATCTGGGGGCATCAAGCTGAGGGCATCCAGCCGCAAGGTCAATGATGGCGAGTGGTGTCACGTGGACTTCCAGAGGGATGGGCGGAAAGGTCAGGAGGCCTCTGGACCCTCCCCCTTCCCTGGGCCATCCCTTTCCATCTGCCCTGACACCCTCTCCATCTCTCTTCAGCTGGTCTCTTCACCATTTCTTGTACTCCTCCCTGCTGCTTCTCCGACACCCCTCCTCGCGTCTTCCCAATTGTCCTTTCTGTCATGGCACATTGGCAGAAAGAGCACAGCATTTGGCATCAGTCAGACCTCAGCTCCCCTGCTTGCTTCATGTGAGACTCTGTTTCCTTATCTGCCACAGGAATAATCCCACAAGGGCCCTCGAGAGGAGAAAATAAGAGCACATCTGTAGAAGCATGAGCACAGTGCCCAACACAGAGCAGATACCCCATTCTCCTTTAAGAATATATTTTCCCAGCCATGCGTCCCTTCTGTCTAGAGCCATTCAACCTAAAGAAAAAATTAACTCACTAGGCCGGGCGCTGTGGCTCACGCCTGTAATCCTAGGACCTTTGGGAGACTGAGGTGGGTGGATCATTTGAGGTCAGGAGTTCAAGACCAGCCTGGCCAACATGGTGAAACCACGCCTCTACTAAAAATACAAAAATTAGCAGGGCATGGTGGTACACTCCTGTAGTCCCAGCTACTTGGGAGGCTGAGGCAGGAGAATCGCTTGAACCCGAGAGGCAGAGGTTGCAGTGAGCCAAGATCTCGCCATTGCACTCCAGCCTGGGTAACAGAGCAAGACTCTGTGTCAAAAAAAGAAAAAGAGAAAAGAAAACTCACTCAACAGTTACTGAGCACCCACTGTGTGCCAGATGCTGTCCAAGGTTCTGAAGATAGGGAAAGCAGGGGAACTAAAGAGACGATCTTCACTGTCACAGAGCTGCTGGTGTGGGGTGGGAGAGCATGGAGTAAAAAGACAGTAAACAGCCCTGCATTCCTACCTAGTAGTGAGGGCTGTAGAACCATAAAGTGTCAGGGCAGAGTGCTGGGGTCGGGCAGATGCCTGTTCTTGAGCCTTCTGTCACTTATAGCCACTCTCTCCTTCACCCTTCATTCAGTCTTTCACATGCTCTTCTTTTCTGTCTGCTATTTCTCTCTTCTTTACTCTTCTCCATCTTGTTGAACATGAGAGAATTGTCCAAGACAGGGAAATTGATATAGATGAGAACTGACACATTATCCAATTTAAGCACTTATCAGCGTCAGCTAAATTTTTGTGCTCCTCTGCCTGTCACTGAGCTGGACCTGTGAGTCTGGGTGGAATGACCGTTCCTCCCCATACATGAAGGAGGGGGCACTGTGGCTCCCGGGGAGTGACTGCTTCTCATGGACTTAGTGTTTCTTTCCTGTCCTTCCTCGAAGTGTTGCTGTCCCTCCCACTACCCCGGGGCTTTACGTTAAATGGTTTAGTCTCAGGGCAGCCCTAGGGATTCTTCACAGAGCCCTTTGCCCCTCGGGGTTTCCACCAGGTGTTCAGTAACTCCCTAGGTTGGAAATCTGCCCAAGCCTTGCAGGGCACTGCAGGGCTTCCAGTCCTCTGCTTTCAGGAAATGCTCCTGTTAGCTCACACCAATCCCGGGAGGCAGTGTCTGGACCAGGTCTGGCTGGTCCTTGGATTCTTGTCTTGACCAACTCTGGACATTTCTGACCACCCATTTCATATGTGCACACAAATACAGACTTGGGGCAGCTATTCCAAGAAAATTCTCTTAGATTTTTTCCCTGATTTTTTTTTCTATTTTTGTTTTTGCCATTGTGGTAAATTATACATAACAAAATTTACCATCCTTTCCTGCAGATCACATCGGACAGAGAATAAAATGAACAACAAAACAGCAAAAAAAAAATTGACCATCGTAACCATTTAATTTTTTTTTTTTGAGACGGAGTTTCGCTCTTGTTGCCCAGGCTGGAGTGCAGTGGCGTGGTCTTGGCTCACTGAAACCTCTGCCTCCTGGGTTCAAGCAATCCTCCTGCTTCAGCCTCCCAAGTAACTGGGATTATAGGTGTGTACCACCACGCCTGGCTAATATATATATATTTTTTGACTAGGGACAGGCTTTCACCATGTTCAGGCTGGTCTTGAACTCCTGACCTCAAGTGATCCATTTGCTTCAGCCCCCCAAAGTGCAGGGATTACAGGTGTGAGTCACTGTGCCTGGCCCATCATAACCATTTTTATTTTTATTTTTTAAAATTTTAAAAGTTTTTTTAGCTGTAAGTTCATTCAATGCAAAATAATTCTCTCCAATTTTACTGAGGTGGCTGACCATGTCCACGACCAAATCCACCTCTAAACTGGAATTTAGTTGCTGACCCAGCCCCAGCCTCGGCTTTCTTGTCGGCACCAGGTGGCACAGCACTCCGTCTGTAGGTATCTCTGTTGGCTTCCCCTCTTAGGAGTCTTGCAGGCAGCTCACCTTCCAGACTTTTAGGCCGAGGCCTGCCTGTCTCTGGATGGCTGCAGCGTAGGGTGGCAGGCACAATCTCTGGGGGCAGGTGAAGATAATGGAGATACTGGATACCCTCATTGGTAAGGTACCAGTAGAAATGTCTCCAGGCAAACTGTTCCTTTACGTAGCCTCGGGACTTGAGAGACTGCATGGCCTCCATGACATGAAGGTTGGGCACGTTCTTGTCTGCCAGCTCTGGGTGCTTAGGCATGTGGACATTCTTCTTGGCCACAGTGACTCCCTCCTTAAAAAGGAGCTCATAAATCGCAATCCAGTTCTTCTTAGGCATCAACATCTCAGCGGCTGTCTCATAACCATTTTTAAGTGTTCAGTTCAGTGATGTAAAGTACACTCACATTGTTGTGTAAATATCACTGGTAACTATCAGTTGTCTCCAGAACTTTTATCTTCCCAAACTGAAACTCTCGCCTATTAAACACTAACTCCCCATTCCCTCTTCTCTTAGCCCTTGGTACTCACCATTCTACTTTACTTCGGTTAAGTGGAATCATGTAGTATTTATCCCTTTGTATCTAGCTCTATTTCATTTTGCATAATGTCTTCTAGGTTCATCCATGTTGTAGCATGTGTCAGGATATCCTTCCTTTTTAGGGCCAAATAATGTTTCATTGTCTGTATATACACCTTGCATTTATCCATCCATCTGTTGATAGATGCTTGGGTTGTTCTTTTCCCTGTGCTGAGTGATCTTGGTGCAGAGACCTGTACTCACTATGGTTTCCTCTTGTTGATCCCCCATTATACACCCCTTTCCCTCCTCTTTCTGTCCCTCCCTCTTGCTTTTCCAGCATTTGGCTCATTTGTAGAGAGTCTTTTTGGGTTGTGTAGAACCCAGGAGGTCCTGCAGTAGGTGGGCAGAGCAGGCATGGGGGAATCTGGCTATAATTAGAGGTGTGGGTGATCAGGCAGGCCATGTTTGGTGGCCTGTTAGAGGAGAGGCCCACAGCCCGGGGAAGTAGGTTTAGAGTCAGGACCCTGGGTCATCTGACATCTTGTATGGAGAGAAATGCTAGGGACCATGTTACTAAAAGAGGACTCAGCTCTGGTTCAGGTGAGGGTTTTTTTTTCTTTTTTCTTTGTTTGTTTGTTTGTTTTTTGAAACAGAGTCTAGCTCTTGTCTCTCAGGCTGTAGTGCAGTGACATGATCTCAGATCACTGCAGCCTCCGCCTCCCAGGTTCAAGTAGTTCTCCTGACTCAGCCTCCTGAGTAGCTGCGATTATAGGCACCCACCACACCTGGCTAATTTTTGTATTTGTAGTAGAGACAGGGTTTCACCATGTTGGGCAGGCTGGTCTTGAACTCCTGACCTCAGGTAATCCACCTACTTTCGCCTCTGAGACTGCTGGAATTACAGATGTCAGCTGCCATGCCCAGCCTCAGGTGAAGCTTTGAGCAGAGGAGAACATGCCCTGAATTAGGGGCTATGTCTGTAGAGGAGGTCCCAGTTCCTCCCTCTTGGTTTCCCACCCCGTGCTCACACTGATTTCCTACTGCATTCTCCTCCCAAAGCTCCCTGTCAAATTCAGGCTTCATGTAGACCCAAACCCTCCTACTGCTCTTTAACCCTATGAAGTTAGGCAGAGTCTTTTTTTTTTTCTCCCTAACTAGGATGACTGCAGTGGGGTCTTGCAGTGAGGAGAGAGATTGGACTTAACTCTCACCCCTACCCCTTTTAAAGAGTTCTTTAAAACTTGAAAAAGGACAGAGGAAGGAATTAAAAAATACAAGTAAAATAAAGTTTCTAATGTATAGGTTTCTGTAGCTTAAGGTCTCAGTAAAGGCTGTGGAATTCCCATCTGATCCCAAGTCTTTTTTTCTACTTCTTATTTCTTTCTTTCTTTCTCTCTCTCCCTCTCTCTCTCTCTCTCTCTTTTTTTTTTTTTTTTTGAGATGGAGTCTTGCTCTGTTGTCTATGCTGGAGTGCAGTGGCGTGATCTTGGCTCACTGCAGCCCCTGTCTCCTGGGTTCAAATGATTATTCTGCCTCAGCCTCCTCAGTAGCTGGGACTACAGTTGTGCACCACCACACCTGGCAAATTTTTTTTTTTTTTTTGGTATTTTTTTTTTTTTTTTTAGTAGAGACCAAGTTTCACCATGTCGGCCAGGCTGATCTAGAACTCCTGATCTCAAGTGATCCATCCGCCTCAGCCTCCCAGAGTGCTGGGATTAAAGGCGTGAACCACTGTGCCCGGCCAAGCACCGTCTACTTCTGAAAAACTCTTCTGTGCCTGCCTCCTTTCTCCTCACTGCTGTCCTGCCCCACAGGCCTTGGAGCCAATCTGCTTGTGCACCTTGCTGGCCACAGAGTGGGCTCTTGGCTGAGGGGTGGAGAGTACTGGCTCTGAGTTCTTGCTGCCTGGACCATACTTTGGCTCTGTTCCTTCCCCACTGTGGCACTTTGGTGCTGTTTTTCGTCTACCATTTCAAAATGGGATCGTAAAGGACCAATTTTACAGAATTATTATGAGACTTAAGTGATATAATATATTTAAAGTGCTGGATGCCTGGCATCTAGTCATAAAAGCTTAATAAATGTTAGTGGGGGAAAAAAAAACTCCTTTGGATTAAAGATTTTCCAGTCCCTTCTGTTCCTTAAGGTTCTCTGCTTCCGGTTCCCAGTCTAAGGAACTGGCTGGCAGGAATGACCCAGTGAATGATCCAGCCCTTTCTGAGCTCAAGATTTGGGCATGCCCACTTTCTGCACATCCTCTGAGGATTTGCTGAGGTGGGGAGGAGGGGTGTGGACAGAGGCCCACAGCATTCTGTAGCTGGCCTGGGGCTGGGTCACACGAGCCTCTGAGCCTGGGGACTTTCGTCAAGCAGTGTCTACAGTGAGTGATGTTGAGCTTTTGGCCCAGGACTGCTGCTCCTCCTCCCGAGCCTGCTGCAGGGCTCAAGGTGGAGGGGCCCAGCTGGGATTGGGGGCCTCCTTGGCAGAATCAGGGTATCCCTTTCTGGCCTGTGGCTTTTCTCCATCCTGCCTTCCCTTGGTCCCCAGGCTCCATCTCAGTGAATAGTCGCAGCACGCCGTTCTTGGCCACCGGGGACAGCGAGATTCTGGACCTGGAGAGCGAGCTGTATCTGGGTGGTCTCCCTGAGGGGGGCCGGGTGGACCTGCCCCTGCCCCCAGAGGTGTGGACAGCAGCACTCCGGGCAGGCTACGTGGGCTGTGTGCGAGATCTCTTCATAGATGGGCGTAGCCGAGACCTCCGGGGCCTGGCCGAGGCTCAGGGAGCTGTGGGCGTCGCCCCCTTCTGCTCCCGGGAGACGTTGAAGCAGTGTGCATCTGCCCCCTGTCGAAATGGTGGTGTCTGTCGAGAAGGCTGGAACCGCTTCGTCTGTGACTGCATCGGGACTGGCTTTCTGGGGCGGGTCTGTGAGAGAGGTGAGGAGAGTCTTCATCCCAGGGGTCCCTGCTCCCCATCCCTGTGCTCCTTCTTCTCAGGGTGACTCCTACTTTCCATTCCTGTGCCCCCCTTCCTAGGGGAACCCCTCATAGATCTACCCTGGGCTTGTCACCCTTGTAATGATTCTCTGTTCTTCTCTCTCCCTCCCCTGGCCTCTGCTTGTCTTTCCCTTCCCTCTTCCCCGACTCCTGGGGTAGAGGCCACGGTCCTGAGCTACGATGGCTCCATGTACATGAAGATCATGCTGCCTAACGCCATGCACACAGAGGCTGAGGATGTGTCCCTGCGTTTCATGTCCCAGCGGGCCTACGGACTCATGATGGCCACCACTTCCAGGGAGTCTGCCGACACCCTGCGCCTGGAGCTGGATGGGGGGCAGATGAAGCTCACTGTCAACCTTGGTAACCACCCTGCTCTGTGCTTCCTGACCCCTCACCTGGCCTTGTCTCTGACTCATACCCGCCTCTGTCTGGAGAAGCTGGTGGTGGCACCAGCAAGAGGTGCCCTCAACAGGGTTTGGAGGTGGGGAGGTGCCAGCCTGGGTCAGAGACCCTGAGAGCTCTGTCCCTGGTGAGGACACACAGTGTAGGATGACACTCCATGCTCGATGACACTGTGAGGGGTGAGATCCAGAGTGTCTGGGGTGTGATAACCATCTTCCTAGGTCACTCATGTGGATCTTGGCAGCATCTGTCCTCCACACACACAGATGACACAGCTCATTTTTGGTCATTGGCTTATCCACTTGCCCATTCATTGATTCATTGATTTGAGAAGCACTTGCTGACGCCTACTGGGTGCTAAGCCTGAGCTCAGTGTGGTGGCAGATACAGAGATGAAGACCTCTTCCCTGCAAGCAGCTGCCCCCATCTGCTCTGCTCAGTCTAAAGAGTAGTCTGTGTGTTGGTGTGTGGAGGTGCACGTGTGTATACTAGATACACAGGTGTACAATCTTACCCTTTCTAGTGCCATGGGCTTTCACATTTGAGCCTCATGGCTGTCCTTTGAAGACACCAGATCACCAAACAGGCATCACTGTTCCTGTTTTATAGATTATGAAATTCATGTATTGACTTATTCAACATTACAAAGCTAGCGAAGGCAGAGGGAGGAGCCAGGACTCAACCTGGACCGTTTGCCTTCAAGTGCTGTGCTTTTCCCATTCCCTCAGACAGGGCTGCTGACCTTCCTCTTCAGGCCACTCATGCCCGCTCATGTCTCCACCCATGCCCAGGGCTGAGAACAGGCCTTGACTCCACCTTGCCTGGCAGTCCCCGAGGTGTCTACAAGGGCCAGACCATGAACCTGTTAGGTTCTCCTCAGGGGCTTCAGCTCTCCTGGTCAGGGCAAAAAGAAAACAGCCAGGTTCACTCATTTAGCTGATATTTATGGGACACCTTATAAATGTAGGTATGCTCCAAGCATGGGGCTCAGCTGTGAATAAACAGTTCCCACCATTTTGGAGCTTTCAGAGCAGGGGAACCCTGGAAGCGAGAGGTCCTAAGCTGTTAAGGCTGAGGTCAAATCTGTCCATTTCAGACTGGCCTCTAGAAACTTATAAAGGTGTAGCACCCAAAGACCTGCGATATGGGAAGTTTGCAGGCTATCTGGGTCACCTCTTGTGTCCTGGACCTAGAGGGGAAATAGGGCCCTTCTGAGCAGGTTAGAATCTTCGCCTGGAGAGAATACAGAGCTTTGAGATTCTAAATATTCATCTGGAGTCTCATTCTAACATTGGTCTCTAGGGCATTTGTCGGACAGACTGTGGTCTTTTGGGGGCCCATTGCCTTGTAAATATATTGATACTATTTCTTTTCTTTCCCCGTTTTGGCCACCTGGCCTTTGTATTCCTAGGACAAAGATTTGCTGAGAGAGGTAGGGGCTGGAGGTGGGGAGATGTGCAGGTGGCCAGGGCCTCAGAGTAGCTTGAAGGGTTCCCCACTGCTCTGTTTCTAACCCTGATCACAGCCTGTAGAGCGGGTGGTGTGCAGCAGCTCTGCAGGGGAAAGCAGGCTGGGAGACACTCTGTTCAGTGCTCCACAAGTCTGCATAATGCCCCTTTGCATCCCTGAAACTGTCACAAGAGGATGGCCCCAGCTAAGGACCCCAAAAGTGGCCCTGTACTTCCAGGTCTGCCCAGATCAGTGTATCCTGTGTGAGTCCCTCCTCCTTTGCCTGGGTATACGTGTGTTCTCTTTGCATCTAAGCATATGTCTTTGTGATTGCTGGGGACACAGCAGGAAAATCTGGGGCCTTGGATTTGCAGGGAAGGCAGATGCATTTTGCTTATTTGGACTGTCCTAGGCCCCTGAAAAGAAGCTTGTGTATCTTAATATTAGACAGGAATCAATGTCCTTTGTCAGGAAAACCTATCCTGTGGGCCCTTGGGACCCACCCCCTCCTCTCCATGGGCATACTTTTCTGTCTGTGCCATGTAAGTGCTCCGAAGTCAGAGAACAAGATGGACTCTTGGAAGACATATTGTGTTAAGAATAGGCTTCCCAGACTGTCACATAATAGGATTGTCCTCCCACCCATTTCTTACACCTGGCTGTGCCCCTGTCCCCATCTGTAGACATGTATGTGCTGAGATGCCATCTCTAGCATGGCTCCTGAAATCCATGACCAAAGGCTTGGTGCAAATGCATCTGTCTACAGATTCCTCCTGTGTAGGCACCATGGACACGCAGGGGGTCCCTACCCAGCCACCAAACCTTGGGTTGGGATGGGAAGAGCTCTGGGCTCGGGGCCAGAAGACCTGGGGCCTAACCTTGGTATCTTTTATTATTGGGTAAGTCATTTCCCATCTCTGAGTCTCTTTTTTAAAAAATCTTTAAAATGGAGATAAGAATCTTCACTCTGCCTATGTCTACAGTAGTTTTCAGGGTCAGATGGAAGAATGGGAATGAAACCGTTGTGCAGATGCAAGGCCCATAGTAGAGACCCACCCAGCCTTCTTGAAGGAAAACTATATTGGAATAGGGACCTGAGTTTGGAACCAGGCCTGGGGGCAGCTTCCACATAGCATGGCCAGGCTGAAATTGTCCTCTACTGGGTGTGCCCAAGTAGTAACCCCAGCAGTAGTGCCCAAACGTAAATTGACCCCGACACATGGGGTCCCATCTGTCACTGCAGCTGATAGGAAGCGTGCGGTGTAAAGAATCTCTGAGCTGCAAGGTGTCACCTCCTTCAGCCTCCCGACCCTCATGAATCACTTCAAGAGCCCCATTCTTGTCCCCTGCTGCTTACTCCCCAGGGCTTGCAGGGCCTCACAGATCGGCAGCAATACCAAGGCCCTAGGCCTGGGCTGGACTCACTGCTGGGGAATAGAGAGAAGCCTGGTGAGGCTTGGTCTCTGGCCTCATGATCTTATCCTGTAGAGAGGGAAGCCATTGCTCCAGGAGGCAGCTCTGCAGCTTCACAGGCACTCAGTGGATTGAAACAGACCCCGGGCTGGGCCTGAAGAGGGACCTGAAGTGCCAGCCTCAAGAGATGAGATATTTGCTAGATAAGAGAGGGCCAAAAAGGTGCTGCTGCCTCTTCCCAGGCAGAGGATCCGGAGGAACTGATCATGCCTCCTGTTCAGCTCTCCAGCCCCCACTATGTTTCCAAACACCGAGCAAGTTCCTTCTGCTGTCTGCAGCCCCTGAGTGGGGAAGTTGATCTCTGTCCCTAGAGGATGGTAAAGTCCCTTGGATTCTTTGCCCTGTTCCAGCATGGCCTGGGTCCCTCCCTGGAGGAGAGGAGAGGACAGGCCAGGCTGGGCACTATGCTCTATTAGGTGTGCCCCTGGGGTCCCAGCTGTCAGTGCAACTGACTTGAAGGGTGTGGTGTAATTAAAAAATCTCTGAGCTGCAAGGGGGTCATCTCCTTTAGCATCCCTCCCCACCCCATGAATCGCCCATGCATTCCCCACCAGTGGGAGGCCTCCAAGATGACCATTCTGATCCTTGAGTAGTTCTTTCTCAGTGTCTTTCTTACTGCCCTTCTGAAAGTCCCACTTGTTCTGAAATTCCCATTAGTTCTGCCCCCTGGAATCAAACAGAGAAATCTAACTGTCATTCATGTTTTAAATCAGGCTAAATACACATTATATCCCAAAGCCCTTTAATCCCTGGGGCCATAGGAGGGTGCATTACCTTCCCACCTGAGGCTGGTCAGTAATGATCAGGTGGGGCTGCTGGGAGCCAGGTCTGAAAGAGGGCTGTGACAGAGTGCATGCTGCCACCCTGTGATGTCACTTCTGAGACAGTGCCTGGGAGTCTTGGGCCCACTGTCTCCAACCCATAGGGCCTGGGCCAGGTGGGAGCCCAGGTGAGGTCGGTCTGGAAAGCCAGTGTTTTTTCCCTGGAGTCCTTTCCATGCAGACCACTTTCTCTCACCTCTCCAACACATGTTCATACTATGACCCTGCTGTCTTGTATCCAGCCAGATCTTCGTGGGTCTGTGCTACGAAGACCACTCACTTCTGCCTATTCCCTGCACTAGAGGCACAGGTCACTAGTTAACAGGTTACTAGTTAGTGCTCCCTAAACTTGGGTGAATGTGTATGTTGAAGGGGCTGGGCTTTTCCTGCTCACTCTGTCTCTGGCTTTCTTCTGGATGGGGCTGGCTTCCCTCTGGGTGCCCATCTTCAAGTTGTTTGCTCTCACAAATCCTACTGGAGCCAGTGCTTCTGAGTGTGGAATCTCTGCAGGGGTGGGCCTGGAGCTGACACCTCTTCTCTGGACAGATGGACCCCCTATTCCTGTTGCTCCCTTGCTGGGGAAGGGGAAGAATCAAGCTCTTTCCTCAGGCCTTTTCCCCAGTAGGGGACCTACTTGCCCTTCCAGCCTCCCCTTTTTTCTTTTTTGGACCCTTCATTGGTGAAGACTCTGCTGGCCCCGAGAGAGCCCCCGTGACCTGACTCCAGGGCCTGGCACCCTTCTGCCCTCACCTTGACAATCCTCCCCTTCCTCTTCTGTCCAGCCTTCCCTGTCCCCTCTGTGCAGCCACTCCTTCCTCTGCTCCTTGCTTTCTTCCTCTTTTCTTTCTGCGTCCTCTCACTGAGACTTCTCACTTCCCTCTGCGTCTGCCCTTTGACCTTTCTCTGCTCCTCCACTCCTCCCTTGGTGCCAGGCTGTGGCCCAGGGTCGCGGCTGCTCGCCTCCACTCTTCTGCTGTGGTTGACAACGCGTGTGGAGCTCAGCTGTACTGCCCGAGGGGCCATGGCCTTCAAAGCCACTGGGGCACCAGTTTACCTCCACTGCAGGAACCTTCAGGGGATGCCAGCTGCCCATCCCGTTTGCTTCCTGGGCTGTGGGGTAGAGAGAACCTATTTGGGGTGGAGCGACAGGAGGCCAGGGTACTGGGCCTGTCAATCGAGGACCAGGAAACTGCCCCTTCCTGAAAGGCAAAGCCAACCCAGTGTCCACCTGCTGCCCACTTCCTGCTCAGGATCCTACTGTTGTCCATTCCCTCAGCTCACATGGAGGGAAGCTGAGGCATGGAGAAAGGTGCTTTACCCAGGGTCACCTGGTGAGTTAGTGAGTGTTAGGATGGAGATGAGGATCCAGCTCCCCTGCCTCCCAGTAAAGGATTTCTGCAGCTCCAGCCAGCCCCTTCCCTCAGGCTGAGTCAGGTTTGGGATTTGATGGAGTGGGGCAGGCATCCTAAGGTCCTTAAATCTGGGCTTCATAAGACTCTGGTCCACTGTTCCCTCTGCAAGGGACTGGCTCCCACCTTTGGGTGTCTGTGTGGAGGCTGAAGCTGTGGGTTCACATAACCAGAGAGATGGCCAGAGGTTCCAGGGCCCTGGGCTGCAGGCTTTGCGTAGACGTGCTTTCTGACCAAATGGGGCCTTCCCAGCCCTGAAATCAGAGGATAGCAATTCCAGGACTGGGACAAGGGCAGGAAACATTGCTTATGGTGGCTACTTGTCCCCAACTGCTTTGTGTTCTCGGAGAAGTCATATTTTGGGGGCTACACTGTCTCCATCTGTGAGGACTTGGCTCCTCCCCAGGAAAGCAGGTTAATACTAGGTTCTCTTCATGGTGAAGGACTACCCCAATCCATCCCCAGTGGCAGCCTGGCATTTCCCAGGATAGGAAGGTGTGGAAGGAAGGTTCCTGTAGGGGTGGTGCTAACCCTTGTGGCTTTGGGAGGTGTATGGCCTTGGGAAGGGGGCCCTGGGGCAGACCCCTCCATTTAGCTCAGAGCCCAGAGAGAACAGGAAGTGACAAGTTACACCTGGGCTCTGAGGAGGGAGTTGTCCCAGAGCAGGGGATACAGGGACTCTGGCCCTCCCCACCCATCTCCCTCCCAGAGACTGGGGAGATGTGGGATTGGTCAAGCCCTCAGCCCCCATCGATCCCCTGTACGACTGGGATTCCCAAGGTGCCCGTCTCCCTCAGACATGAGAGGCCTGGTTCCCTCTAAGGAGGGGAACATAAGCCCTCTTCCCATCATCTGACTGCCCTGCCTTCCAGCTCTGGGGAGGGTTGGAGCCCTCTTGGGGGCAGGAGGGACAGGGGTCCAACTGAGGAAGGAAAGAGGGCACCTGGGCACGCGTGGTCCCCGGAAAGTGGCCCTGGGGGGAACCCCGCCTGCAGACACCCCTCCCTGTGAAGGATGTAAAAGAAAAAAACTTGTTCTACCTTTTTGTCTCCCCTTCCCCTCTGCCCGCCCCATGGCCCCCCCAGACTGCCTGCGCGTCGGCTGCGCACCCAGTAAGTGGCTTCCCTCTTCTTCTGCAGAGTCCCAAGGGGACTGGGATGCTGGACGCTGGGATTTAGGGAAGGAGTCTGGGAGGAGGAGAATTCTTGATTGCTGGCTCAAGTGGGGGTTGGGCCTTGGCTGTGGGGAGGGGCGTGGGCAGGGTTTGAGGTCAGATAGTTGTGGAACAGGAGGGACCAAACAAAGCAGAGCCAAGGAGAGCTGGGGGAGGGCCTGCAGTCAGGATATCCACTGGTTCTAGGAAGGGAGAGACCAGGACACCCTTTGCCCAAGTCAGCAGGAGGGTGGGGAGGAGGTAGAAAAGACTTGGGTAGCATCTGTGGCAGGATGCTCTGAGGTCCTACTGGCTGGCAGGGAGGAGCCTGAGAGGGAGTGGAATAGGTTGCTGCATCTCCAGAGGTGGCCACAAGGGGGAAGGCGAGGCACGTGGGAACAAAGATGAGGGTGGGAAAGGAGCTCCTGTGTCAGCTCAACTCAGCTCCTGTGTCAGCTGGAGTGTTTCTGCCAAATGGGGGCTCCTTCTGTGGTGACAGTGAGAGCTCTCAGCAGGGGTGAGATGGAGAGTGAGTGGGTGGACATTTCCAGGCATCCCAGTGCGCCTGGGCTCAATGCTATGTCTCAGGGTGTTTCTGCATGGTATGGCAGGGGAGCACATACACGTGGTAGACCCAGGCAGAGAGACTGTGTGTGCTGGGCACCCTGCTCTTCATGTGTGCGTGGCATGCTGTCTGTGCCCTGGAGTGAGCACTGGACGGCCAAGGGATGACCAGGGAGTGCTGCAAAGTCCAGCAGCATTGGAAAGCTAGTATGTTTTGTTTTAGACTCTGGAAGCTGATGATCCTGGTCTTGAGTAAATGGCCATAATTCCTAAGAAGCAGAACCTTCCCCTCCCTGGCCATCCTGCTTATTTATGGGCAATGCGTGTGGTGGCATAACCTGGTGTGTAGCATCAACCAGGCATGTATATGTAGAAAGGTCTCATTGGTCCCATTGTGGATGGAGAAGCCGGTGTCTGTGTGGAGGCTGAAGCTGTGGGTTCACATTTATATTTGGGTACTGTGTGAAGTTTTGAAAGTTTTAGGCCTGTGTTTATACACTGGGAATATAGCTTCCAGCCATACTTACTGAAGGCCCTTAGGAATCTGGGGGAAGAATATGTTGGTCTGTGGGCAGGGCCTCAGGGTACAACTCCAGAGGCACCATTCACTTAATATTCTATGTGCATGGCACCCTCTGAAGTCATGCAAAGGGCAGTCCTGGGAGTGTCTGGATATATGATTGGGGTATAAAAGCTCTGCATGTGCATGGACTCTGGGTGTGATGGGAGGCCATGAGTGTGTACTTATAGTCATGGGTGTGTGATGTAGACAAATATGAGTCATTGGTCACATATGTGTATATGCGTGGCATGTGTGGGTGTGGGGAGGCTGTGTGCCTGAGGTAATATAGGAAGCCACCTGTGAGCATGTATAGGTGTCCTACTCACTTCCCCATTGGTGCTGCAGGTAAAGGCCCTGAGACGCTGTTTGCGGGGCACAAGCTCAATGACAATGAGTGGCACACAGTGAGGGTGGTCCGGCGTGGCAAGAGCCTGCAGCTGTCTGTGGACAATGTGACTGTGGAGGGTAGGTGGTCTGGGCCCGGGGAGATAGACACATCTCCAGTGACCTATGCTTGGCCCTGTTCTACTTGGTGACCAGTGCCTGGGCTGCCGTTCCTAGAGCAGTGTTTTGGCAAGCTGCCTCTGCTATTTCTCCTTCAGGGGTGGTATGATATGGGCATCTGGACCCCAGGAACAATTTCAACTCCCTGGAGGCAGCATTCCCATGGCAGCATGTTAGCTCTTGACTGACGAGTCCTGCCGCTCCTCTTGGAGCTGTGCTTGCTGCTAGTGCCTAGCCGAGGACATCACGGGTGGCCATTCTGTGGAGGGGAGGCTCCTGGAATCCCAAGCCCCAGTCCTGCTCCAAATTCATGCCCCTCATCTTGTTCTCCTGTCCTGAGCAGGACAGATGGCCGGAGCCCATACACGGCTGGAGTTCCACAACATTGAGACGGGCATCATGACGGAGCGGCGGTTTATCTCTGTAGTGCCCTCCAACTTCATTGGGCACCTGAGTGGGTTGGTGTTCAACGGCCAGCCCTACATGGACCAGTGCAAGGATGGTGACATCACCTACTGCGAGCTCAATGCCCGCTTTGGTCTGCGTGCCATCGTGGCCGATCCTGTCACCTTCAAGAGTCGCAGCAGCTACCTGGCACTCGCCACGCTCCAAGCCTATGCTTCCATGCATCTCTTCTTCCAGTTCAAGACCACAGCCCCTGATGGTCTTCTCCTGTTCAACTCAGGCAACGGCAATGACTTCATTGTCATCGAGCTGGTCAAGGGGTGAGGGGCTGGGCATTGCACTGCTGTCAAGGAAGTGGCCCCCTCCCCCTGCTGAACCAGATACAGCTCCCCTAGCTACTGGCTGAGGTGTCCAATCCTCCAGATTGCAAGTCAAGATTCAGGTCCCCAACCATAAGTCGAGAGGCTCCCTCTTCAGCTAAGATGGAGAAGAAGCACCCGCCACCTCCACTCTGCTGATTCCCCAGCTACTTCCTTGCCAGAGTTTCCAGTTATATCCATTCTCTGTCCACTGTCACCTTCTCTACAAGCAGAAGTCAGTCTTGCCCCTCTCTTGCCTTAGGGGACCCCACCCCAGAGCAGCCCAGTCCCTGCCTCCAGAGGATCCTGCTGACCCGCAAACCTCTCCCTTCTAGCTCCTCTTCTGAGCTTGTGTCACAAGAGCCAGCTCCTTGGTGGCCCTCCTTCCTCACATTCTCTCCATGACAGGACCTCACACTATAGCCCTCTTGCCATTGGTTTTGGTCCCTCTCCTGTGGGGTCTCCCTCTTAATCCCTTCTTCCCATGGCACCTAGGACCCCTGCCAGCCATAGCTCCTCCTCACCCCACCTTCCCAGCATCACCCCCACCCTGACCCAGTGTCTCCTCCCTACTGTGGGGCAGGTACATCCACTACGTGTTTGACCTGGGGAATGGCCCGTCCTTGATGAAGGGGAACTCAGACAAACCAGTCAATGACAACCAGTGGCACAACGTGGTGGTGTCCAGGGACCCAGGCAACGTGCACACGCTCAAGATTGACTCCCGCACTGTCACGCAGCACTCCAATGGCGCCCGAAACCTCGATCTCAAAGGTGGGGCTGGGGCCTCTGGAGAAGGCCTGGCCCTAGCCCAGATACCCCTCACCCCAGTGAAATCACCCCATTTCTGGGATGCTGCTTCTGTCGGTTCCCTGTCCCTAGTTTCCGCCTCTCTTTCCCCGTCTCCATTATGTCCTGCCTGACATTTTCCTGTCCAAGTTCTGCTTGGCTCTTTTGTGAGTCTGCATCTCACCCCTGAAAGCCTGGTTGCAGGATGTGTCTCACAGGGTGCTTGGTGGCCTCATTCCAGAGCTAGGAGTAGGGAGCCTGGGACCTCCAAGGACCTCCAAGGTTGAGAAGCCTACGTTGGTTGAGGGCTGGAGTCAGAATAGGGAGCTTAACATCCCCCTGGGTGAGGTAGACGATACGGGGCAGAGGACATAGTAGGAGTTAGAGTCCCTAGGCACCTGTCGGGCATTGGCTGGCCTAGCCTGGGGACATTTTTTACCCAGGCTTCCGTGCTGTGCTCAGGGTCACACCAGGGTGCCACATTCCCCAGGGCCTCTTCAGTGGTCATTGAAGCAGTCATTGGCTGCCCCCAGAATGGCTGGCTGAGAAATCAGGGAAGACGAGGGTGAGCTAAGGCCTGAGCATTGGGACAGGAAAGATGAGGCCTGCAGCTTCTCCAGAGCTCACTGAGGGCAATGTGATCTACCTTCTTGCACATGCCCAAAGCAGCCTTCAGCCCCATAGGAACCCCTGGGCGTCAGTTTGACTCAAACTGTCAGAGCTTGGGGAGGGTCCTCAGAGACCATGGAATTCACTGCCCTACTCCCCCAGATCTGAGATCTGCCAGATCTCCCGACATAGTGCTGTGAATTCCCCTTGTTCCCAGAAGGGGGCGACATGTCACAGAGAATCCAAAATGGCAGCAAACCCAGGGGTTATCTTGGCGCCTCTTGTGCTGCGCTGAGCTGGTGGTCAGGGCAGCAGATTGACCAGTGTCTTGACTGAAGCTTGGCTGTGGGCTAGCCAGGGCTTCCAGGGAGTTAGGCTCATGGGAGGGGATCAGGTGTTGTGGAGGAGAATGTCCCGGAGTCCCAGGGCATGAAGTGGGCCAATCCCTAGTTGTTGTTGGGGGAAGGGAGCCGGGCTTAGAACTCCGTAGGAGAGAGTCCAAGAGTTGGGAAAGGCTTGAAGGAGTTCTGGGAATGGGGAACTTTGGGAGGGAGGGAATGGGGGTGGAGAGGATGCGAATCTATGAAAGGCCCTGATTACGGGCCGGAACTGGAATCAAATGTGTGGGAGAGAGCACAGAGCAGGTTCCTCCAGCTGTCCCCCAGCCCCCACTCTCCCAGGCATCTGGGCTTCTCTGAGGGGTGGGGGGAGCAGGCAGATGGCAAAGTGGAGAAGAAGGAAGGGGGTGGGGTGCGGGTTGTGCAGGTTGCTGGATCTCTGCTAGGGACCTGGAATCTGGGATGAAACACGGAGAGCCTGAGAGGGCTGGGAGGACCTGACAGCCAGATGCCATTGTCTTAGGAGGGGAGTGGAGACATGGATGCCTTGGTTGACCCCACTCCCTTTACAGGGGAGTTGTACATTGGCGGTCTGAGCAAGAACATGTTCAGCAACCTGCCCAAGCTGGTGGCCTCCCGGGATGGCTTTCAGGGCTGCCTGGCCTCAGTGGACCTCAATGGACGCCTCCCAGACCTCATCGCTGACGCCCTGCACCGCATTGGGCAGGTGGAGAGGGGCTGTGATGGTGAGTGGAAGGTGGAGGAGTGAGGTGTGGCCCTGCTGGCTACAGGATGGCCAGCTGCAGCAGCAGACTGGGGCAGGTAGCTTCTGCTCAGCAAACAGGCCTTCCTTCTCAGGCCTTGTGAGAGCTTGCCCCCACAGTTCTGGGGCAGGGATACAGGTGTGTGAAAGGTCACTTGCCCTCCCTGTTGTCTCACACCCTGGCCCCTTGTCACACTCCAAGGTCAAGCCTAGAAGACCTGACAACCCCTGCCCCCACCCTGCCACAATCCCTCTCATCGGTACTTGGCCCTTTCAGCCAGACAGAGCTCAGATTAGGACCTCTCTGCCTGGCTCTGAAGCTTCCACACCTCCTGGGGAGAAGGGAGAAGGCTTGGCTGAGCCAGGGGTGTTCCTCCTGCCCCTTCCAGGCCCCAGCACCACCTGCACTGAAGAGTCCTGTGCCAACCAGGGCGTCTGCTTGCAGCAGTGGGATGGCTTCACCTGCGACTGCACCATGACTTCCTATGGAGGCCCTGTCTGCAATGATCGTGAGTGCCTGGGAGGGTTGGTGGTGGTCTGGGGAGACCAGGGCCCATTCCCAGCCACAGGGGCTGCCAGGGAGGAAAGAGGATCTCTGAGCACTCAGGAGCTATGCTGCTTGCTTCATTCTCATCCCTTGTCTGGAGAGTCCCAGGTGAGCTTCAGCCTGCTCTCCCTTCAGAGGGTCTTTCTCCTGGGGCTGTGCAGGATCACTGCTGCCTGAAGCTCAGGGGTGACCCACTGATAAATGGCCTTTCTTCCTTGTTCTCAGCTGCTGGGACCCTGCTCCCTTCACCCCAAACCAAAGGTGTCAGCCTCAATGGGGTGAACTTGCTGCTGTTCTGTGTGATTTGGTGATGGTCTTACATGTACTCGTACCTCACACACACACACTATTGGACAGGGAGAAGGGCTAACCTGCACCCTCTTTGCTCTGTTGCCCTCAGGGCATGAAGTGGGAATCTGTTATTTCCTGATGAGAACAGGATGACACTCTAGAGGACAGGCTCTGGAGGCTCCCAGGAGGCCAGGCTGCTGGACAGCTGGTTTCCCTAGAATGGGCCCCTCTTGCTTCCCCAAGAATACCAGCTGCTGTTTGTCCCCTTGAGCCACAAGGTCACTCTCCACTGTCCTCATTTGGTTCTTCTCCTCCCAGGCTGGGCATTTGCTTGCCAACTTGCATTCTGTTTGAGAGCCCTCCCCAGAGAGGGCAGCTTCAGCAGCAGCACCCAGTTCTTAGTGGTTGGTGGCCAGCAGCTGGTTAGAGCCTTGCAGAGGGAGGGCAGCTGGGACAGGAATGGCAGGGAGGCAAACTTCTACTCTGTGGGGTGGCTTTGGTGTTTCCCTTGGATGATTGGGCCGGAGTGGGTGGGCAGAGAGCAGCCTCCTCAGCATCGCTTGAATCATCTTCCCTGGGGTCCTGCTGAAACACCAAGCAGAAAAGTCAGCTGCCTGGGAAGAAACACACACACACACACACACACACACACACACACACACACACACAGAGCATCTCCATTTTACAGACATGGAATAATGCTGGAGAGGAACAGTCAATTTCTGGAGGAAGTTCATAGCAGATCTGGGATGAGACCCCAGTCAGTGCTCCTGCCTCCATAGCAGGACCTTCGTCATCTGGGCATGAGTCCTGAGTTTCTTAGAGGAGAAACCTACTGGGTCCAGGAGCTCTTGGCTGGTGTTAGTTTTTTTTTTTCTCCTTTGAAAAAGTGTCTACCCCATCTCCCTCAGTGCTTTCCTGGTGTTCTAAGGCATGGCTAGCCCTTGGGTACCACCACATCCCAACTCTTGTTTCCCAGGATTTTCCTTGCCTGACCTGCTGCTCTCTGCAAAGCCTCCAGACAATGGCCAGCTGAGGGTGTTCCAACCCTGACTGCCAAGGCATAGATCCCTGGCTGCGGCTGGGCCTCTTCCCTCTGCTAACTCAGCTTTGCACAGGTCTGGAAATGATGCTAACTTTGTTGTTAATAGTAACACTCCCCACTAATAGTTTCATGTTTTACAGTTTACAAAGCCCTTTTAATTTGATTCTCAGAGAAGGCAGTGGGTTTTGTGTTTAACTGATGAGGAAACCCAGGCCTCAGTAAGAGGGTTACTCACCCCAAGTCATAGAGGGTCAATGGGAGAGCTTGGCTGGAACCTAGGTGCTCCTGACTGTCACTCCCTGCTGCTCATTTAGTCCCTGGGGGGGGGTGGTGGTGGTACCCGTGGTGGGCACTTCTTGCCTGGGGTAGAAGGAGTCAGGATCAGGAAGCGCTGCTGCCCATTGTCACTGCTTCACTCCCACACAGTGAAGTCTTCTGGAAAGGGGGCATGAGATGGATGGGAAGTGGAGGTTGTGTCAGCAGAGATGGGAAGAACAACTTCTTTGGGTTCCAGGCTGGTGGGAGGCAGGGATAGTTGGGGCTGGGGAGCAGGGTGCATCTTGGGAGTCATCACCATCCCCAAGCACTGGTCTCTGTGCCTGGTGGCATAGCCTGAGCCAAAGCTGTGGAGCTAAGACAAGGTGGGTACAACCTGGAGCCACGCGGGGCTCAGGGTGCCGCTGCTCTGAGCTCTAGCCCTGGGGTAATGCTGAGACCTCTAACCCTGGAGGGCAGGGCAGGAATCTGGGAAGTGGGGCCCAATCCCCTCTTCTCCCGGGGCTACTCCTCCCTAGCCTGTCTCTGTATTTTTCTTGCTTTCTTTCTATGGCAGGTCTTCTTGGGGCCCTTCTATGAACCCAGCAGAGAGGGCTGTTCAGTTAGCTCTGCCTTCACCCCTGGGAGGCCCTGGGGGCACAGATGACCCAGTCTCAAGAGAGGAAGGAGGGTGGAAATGGCAAAGGTAGAAGGAGCAGGGCCTGTCCTCCGAAGGGTGGGGCTGTGGGGTGCAGCTGTCTGGTGGGGGAGAGACTAGGGTGAGGAAAGGTCACATCTACGGAACAGCTTTCCCCCACTTACTGCCTCAATTTCTCCATCTGTGACATGGGGACTACTCCTGGGGATGCAGGGAACTTTGTGTTCCTTTAAGGCTTAGGAATGTCTGCTCTGGGAAGACAGGAGAGAAAACATGAGATGGAGGAAAGTGGACAGCAAAGGAAAAAGAGAATACGAAATGAGAAAGGGTGGCCCAAAGAAGACACTTCCCAGGTCTGAGATTTGGGACTGAGGTGCTCCCAACAGGCCTACTTGCTCCTCTGTCTTTCAGAGCCTGTCTTGGCCTCTCCAAGGAGGTCAGTTCCCTACCATCTCTGCCTCCCTGTCTCTGTTCATCTCTGCAGCCTCTGTTGATCTCTTACACCCCTCTGTCTCTCCCTTCTTTTTTACCCTCTATGTTTTCCTCTCTGTCCTCAGACTTGCCCACCTCCCACTCTCTTCAGTTCCCACTCACTGGTATTGATTGGCCTCTAGGCGGTTTCCCTTCCTCGCATCTCACCACCGGCTCCTCCCTCCCTCCCTGTGGGACCATAAATTTTCTGCCTGCTCAGAGCTGTGTCAGTCTATATTCCAGATGTAGGGGCACAAGAACGGGATGGAGAGGGCAGGAGGAGGATGTGGCCTCTGGGGGCTCTAGCCCTGCTTCTGGCCTGGGGTCTCTCCTCTAGCATGGCACAGTGCTGGGCCCTGTACCACGCGAAGCCTCCTCTGGGTGCCTCCAAGGGCAAGGATGGCTTTCTTCACTTCTAAAGGGCTGGGGGCCAAATCTGGCCCTGGCATGTGGCAGACATGGAGGACTGGCAGCAGCCCTGGGGAGATGTCCTGGGTCCTGACTGCACCCTGGAGCTGGGGGCAGCACATGGGGCTCAAGGTGACAGTTTTTGGTCCCAAATGGAGTTCAGAATCAATAAACAGGAGCCAGCTCTCTGCAGCCCCTCCCAGCCTCCTCTCTCCCAGCCCTCCCCTTTCTCACTTCACCCGCCCCTGCCTCCTGTCCTTTTCTTACCCAGCCCTCCTCCTCACTCTGCTGCACTGTTTCTTCAGCTCCCCCAGGTGCCCTCTCCACCTCTCTCCTCCTTTCCCTCCTCCTCTACCTTCTGCCTTCCCACCCTCTCCCCAGTCTAAGCAGGTTGTTGTGTGTACCTGTCGACCCGAAAGGAGTCTCTCTGCGCTTACCTCTGGGGCCACAGGTGCTTTCCAGAGGCGTTCAAAAGTTTTGGGTGGGGGGCAGATCTCACTTGGAGGGCATCCTGAAGGAGAAGTGGTTTCCTCAGCTTGACATATGTGGCCCAGGAAGGGTTTTGTCCTAAGTGGGACACTCAGTGGACAGGTGTCCTCTAGACACCCCATGAAGGGAGAAGTTGGGGCTGGGGGAGGGGCAGTGGGACTGGAGAGGAAGGATTGGAGTCCAGGAGAGGCTTGTTCAGGGGGCTGGGCGAGCATTCTTCTGGGGAGGTGGTGGGGAGTTGTATGTGTGTGGCGTGCGTTATTCCTGAGTACCTTAAAGGCTCTGGGTGCGTTGTATGCTGTGGACCTTACTTTGGAGGGTGAGCTTGGGGGGCAGAGGTGTCTGTGTGTATGTTGGCCATTCATGGCCTGTGATCAAACGTGTGTGCGTGCACATGTATGCATGCCCCTGTGAGCATGTGTACATGCTCCCCTGAGAGTGAGTTGGTGTGCCAGTGTCTGTGAGCACATGCATGCAAGTATGTGTCTGAGCCTGTGTGCCTGCCCGCACACTGTGCCTGTATGGGCACGTGAATGTCTCCATACCCAAGCTGGTCCACATCTCAGTGTGCACGTGTGTTCCGAGGGGTGCGTGCAGACGTGGCCGCCGCGGCATCTCAGCAGGCTGTGCCAGAGAGCATTACTGGGGTTTATCCAGCTGGGGTCGGTGGGGAGGAAGAAAGTGGCCTCTCTTACTAGCCTCAGTCCTGTTCCATTATTCAGCAGGGTCCCTTCTCGAGGAGGGGGGTGCAGGATGAGCGCGCGCGTCCAGCGCGGGGGAGGGGCGGGAGCGCGCAGCGGAGAGTCGAGCGCCGAGCGGGCTAGCCAGGTGCCGCGCGGCGGAGCTGCCCAGCGCCGCCCGCAGATCGGGAGCCGCTCTCGTCCCTCCGCCCTGCCCCCTCCTCCTCCCGCGCTCCCCTTCCCCTCCCCTCTCCACTCTCCTTCTTCCCTCCCTCCCTTCCTCCCTCCCTTTTTTCCTCCCTCCCTCCCTCTCCCTTCCAGCCCTCTCAGCCTCTGCAGCAACACTCCGCTGCCTCCATCTCTCCGCCGGAATCTCGCAGGCTCGCGCCTTTCCTCTGCTCAGCCCCGCTCCCCTCCTCTCCTTTCCCCTCCTCTCCTCTCCCTTCATTCCCCCATCACCCGGATTTGATTCCCTTCCCCCTTCTCCCGCCCCCCTCCCCCGGCCGCTCCCTCCTTTTCCCCCCCGGCCTCCGTCGGGCGGCAGCGGCAGCAGCGGCGCGGCTGGCCCTAGTCGCCGTCGGTCTCTCGCTTTCGGAGGAACCAGGCCTCCGTCCCTCTTCTCTCCTCCAGCCCGCACCGCCCCCCTCCCCGGCTCGGTTTTTCCG